GTCTCATGCTCACGCCTATGCTTCTTTGTTCGGTGCAATTAGAGTTCATAGGGGATTCACGGTTCGGGATTTTGGATGGTAGTGGCAATACTAGTAGTATTCAATAGGCTTTAGCATGTCGAGTAATGGTTCAGGATGGAAAGCTTACTGCTGAAGTTCATACGTCCAAAAACTCGTCGTGAATTTCTGATGGCTAGAACTGAACACTGTCGGAAAGGCATGCTGACATCGTAGGTTTGAAACCGTGTCAGTCGGGGACCGGAGAGGGGTCCCTTGTTGGGGAGCCGAAAAGAGAGGTTGGATGCGGCGAAACTGAGTCTTGGAGACCTCCCTCCATCCTGTTACAAGGGCCTGGCTGCGGGCTGTTGTGGGAACCGGACGGTTGAAGCTACAGTGTTGGGCTCCGTTCCTGCTACGGGTTCCCGTGACGGACAGCCTTGTTCCTGCTACGGAATATATGGGAGTTTCCGAAAATAGGGGACCCTAATATAGTACCCTAATTAGTAGGATCCTTGTTATAAGGACCCCAAAATAAGGTAGCCCTAATTTTCGGAAACTCCCATATCCAAGCCCTTAACACCTGCCAAAATGGCCTGTGCCGCCAGAGCCGTGCAGCAAGCCTAGACTGCACTCTTCCTTTAGAATATGTGCCTCAACGAAAAGTGATGATCTAGAGTTAGGTTCGGATCTACGCCATACTGTAGTAGAATAGTGCATTGGGGTGCTATTCCGAGTTCTTCCAAATGCTTCACATTGTCTGGTTTCACTGCAACAAAATTCCCAATCTAGAGGCCTTAATAATTAGAATAGGGTCTTGGAGCCCATTTCCCCAAAAAATAGTATTGGTAACCACTTATTAGTAACCCTAAACCCTAAACCCTAACTTATTAGGCCCCTATACTCTAGGATTGTCCCTGTCTTCGGCCTCAGCGGCCTCGCGCCCGCCGAGAGCAATGGGCCCCGTGCCTGGGCGCTGTCTCTCGGTGAGGCCGAGGCAACATACCCTGGCTGCGCGTACGCTGTTGATCTATCTTTCGATCTACCTAGTTATCTATCTATCTATACATGCACATATGACACCTATGTGTGAAGTGAGCATATATACAGATAGCGGCTTTGAAACAATCATGCAACACAATGTGGCATACCTTCAAGCCAACAACGGCAGAGTAAAGTATGTCAGACACAAGATCGAGCATACCACGTGGCAATGTTGGTAACACAAACGAGATGCATTATCAACCGTCTATGGCAGTAACACATCCCACATCCTGCACGCAGCTAACAAGACTAGTCTCGGACGAAGGCGAGACATGCAAAGAGCAAAATCAAAGCCAGAAGGCATTGACTTTGCAACACTGTACGAAGAGCCCGCGCATGTTGGTAAGGTTTCTGCTCCTCATAGTGGTGAGGACTGGCCATGGTCGATGGATGGTGTATGATGAAAGAGAACACGATGAGGATGGCGATGACGATGAGAACGACGACTTGTTTAATAGCGGCTACCATCGCCAAGCCAGCAATGCTGACAGAGACCCGAAGAATGCCTTGCTCTCCCAAAGCAGCAGAGATGCAAAGAACTGAGCCACAAGCAGGTCCGGCGACGAAACCCCGCCAGTCGCCAAGTGAGCAGCAAAGCCTGGCCCAAGCACAGACCTGTGTGTTCCTGTAATTAGGATCAGGGGGTGTTTAGCACAGGGCTTGGAAGCACGGCAACTGTACTTAACGTACCTACATATATTATATTGCCCTACAGCAAAGCTTCAAGTGGCGCACAACAGAGGGAGTGCCACCAAGGATTGAATCGGCCGGCTACGGCCGCTCCTCAAGCAGAAATTGATGCACTTCACGGAGGCTGAGGCGCGCGCGCCGTAGCGGAGAGAAGGGAAACCCCTCGGAGAGAGCCTTGCCATAACCTGCTCATTGGGTTTTTTGCTTTGTGCGCTTTCGTCAGCGGCTTGCAGGGCCAGAGATATAGTAGTACGAGTTAGATGGTACTCGCCACTCAAGTCTAAATCAACCTTCTTCCTTCATTCTCACAAGCTCAACGCTCGACACCCTGAGCACTCAGAATCACCGTTTTGCCAAAGTGCAAGGCATCCGGAAAGGTCGAACGAGCGCTGGCCTTTGGCACTTCTCCCAACTTCGGCCCTGACCTGCGAAAGCTGACGTCTGGATGTGCCAGATGTTCGTAGAGTTAAGGGGTTCTGAGACTGTTGCAGAATTTGGGGCTTAGGGCTCAGGGCCCTTAACTTCATTAAAAGTCACCCTAAACCCTAAACCCCCTTAACCCTAAACCCTAAACTACCTAAACCCTAAACTACCTAAGACCCTAAACCCTAATTTAAAGTAGGGAAGAGCAGCCGGCGCTTCTCTTGACCCAGGCCTCTTGAGGGGCCGCTTGGGAAGCTCGGCTCCATGACGCTCTTAGGATGCGGCTGCGAAGAATAACAAGCAAATGTACTGCTAATATGCCAGTATATGTCGGCACTACAAGGGGATCCTCTGCAAATGTACTAGCGAACAGTGGAAATAATGGACATTCTTATTCCTCGTTCGGAGCAACAATCTTAGAACTTACTCTTTGCAATAGTCTACCATATACCCAGAAGGTGAGTGAGCCGTGGTTGCAGCTCCTCTCATCCATAGATGCTACTGGTTCTGTGGTCATGTCTTGATTTGATCTTTGACGGGCCATTCCAAGCCCCCTAAATCTTTCGAGTCTGCGAGGTGGAACGGCCCAAGTTCTTCGCCGGATGCCAGCTATGTCGTTGCAGCAGAGTTCGGGTACACGCTCCTGTACAGCTCTTGCATGACGCACACGCTTCGCAGCTCCTTCTTCTACTCCAGTGAAACCGATGAATTGCAGCCGCCAGAGCCAGAGCCAAAGGCCCTCAAATCAACGTGTCTTCAACCATAAGCCCCCTTGCGAGTAGGATGAAGCACATGGCACCGTCCGTTCTGAAACCAAAAGTTTGGTGCGTGCAAAGGGTGACACCCGGAAAGCGTCAGTTCGACGCCTTCGCATTGCTTGCAGGGAGCTCTTGCCCTATTCAAGCACGAAGCCACCCGAAGTCCGCTGAGTCGGATTCGCATCAGCGCACTCCCTGAGGTTCCCCACTGTGTGGCTAAGCTCTCTGCGACGCCATCTTCTGCAGCGAGCCAAACGAGAAGGATGCAAATTCTCTGTATAGGAGACATTGCCATCCTGGTCCTGTCAGAGGAGCCAAGACAAGTAGTAGAACCTACTAAAGGCCCTAGGCACCAGTTGTTGCAGGATGTTCATATGTTTCGACAATTTTCTGCGTATGCGGAGTTGCGTATTGCATTCCACCCTAGCAGGCCCCATGCTCTGTGATACACAGACACATGTGCCGATGATCATGATGATGGCCATGCAAGGTACATGGGTGATAACAGTCATGGCGATCATCAGGACCGTGTCGATGCGGGTCATGATGGTGATGCGGACGATTATGACGCTGATGAGGATGGTGATTCTGTCCACCCTTGCTGTTCCTAGCCCGGAGTCTGCACAAGCCTGATCCACCTGGAACATGATGGCATGATCTCTCGCCGGGTCAGCCTAGGCAGTCTGGCAAACGTCAAGGAGGGGATAAATTGGCTCTATCAGACGGACGAGGCTACGTGCCATTCAATGGCGGAGGACGCTAAATTCTTTTCACAGTTTCCCCCCAGCAAGACCGCTTACGAGATCAAAGTCGTGGTTTGAGGACCAATGGTGACCAGGTGATGGTGGTGGTGGTGGTGGTGGTGCTGGTGCTGGTGGTGGTGCTGGTGGTGGTGGTGTTGGTGGTGGCGGCGGCGGGTGCAGTGACACAAATTTGCGAAGTGGATGGTAAATGTGTGTTAACAGCCGGTTGCTGCAATGCTGCAAATGGACAGGGCATCGTGGTCATCACGTCTGCCAGGGGTAGGACGGTAGAGCCGGTAGAGCCTGCGAAGGCCTGATGAGACCATGGCGACTACCAGTATCATCAATACCTCCTCTTCAACCTATGAGCACTGCAGCTGATCTTGTGCTTTATAACACAGCTAAAGCTTTGAAGCCCGAATTCGAGCCGAACTCGCCCCAAAACCGAGAGCGGCCCGGCCCGCCTCGGCCAGAAGAGCTCTCTTGGGGCCCAACCCGCTCGAGGAACGAAGCTCACGTAGGAGATCAGGTTGTCCGCGTTGACCTTCGCATTCTTCCGCAGTTTGCGTTGGCCAGGCATCCGCGAACAGGATCTTTACTACTATGGTTATCCATATTGCTACTACTACACCTTCTATGTAGTTGTGTAGTTCTTTTGCATTCGTATTAGTAGCATTAATGTTGCGTTTCTTAGTCGCCAATTAGTATTGCTGCTATTCGTTACTATTGTTGTTCTTACTCTTTTTCTATTGTCCTTACTAAGATCTCAATCATGATTATGATGAGACCTTGCGCGCCTCTAAACCAAAGCACCAATCGAGTATGCACGCTCTCCAAGACTCATCGAGGAGCACCTAACAAACCCTGCGGGCAGCCGCTGCCTCCGCCTCGCTAAGAACGGTGTAGATCTGCATACGGGTCAGTCCCAGCTTTTGGATTGCCACTGCAGGCGCATGCTGAGGTCAGCCCAAAGCCCCACGCGGGCCTGATGCAGCAAGTCTCGCATGTCGTCCAGGCCGAGCAGGCCCGTCATCTCGGTATCCTGTCAGTGCTTCAAGCAAATTGGCGTGGAACGCATACATGTGTGCGTTCGTGCGTGCGTATGTGTGTGTGTGTGTGTGCGCTTTTATGCGTCTCTGTCCTTCCCACAACATGTGTGAACATGAAACATATGATATGTATGTGCTCTTCCACATGCATGTTTTTAGCCATAACCGCTATCCACATGCTAGACATGAAGACATGTTGATGTTTCCTGAGGTGTACACACCCGGTCTGTCGCCACACTTGGCTAAGTAGTGTCTCCTCAACCCTGACCGGAGAGACAGGAATCAGCAGCCTGTTTTCAGGGCGTGTTGTCCCGCAAATCTTTCTCCATCTTCAACCACCGGAGCTTTTCATGGTGGCAAGGGATTCGCTTAGCCTTGCAATCGCATGGTGGAAAACTTGACGAGTAGGTCGAGGAAACCTCGAACCCCGATTTTTCGTAGCATCTTTGAGCCCCTTTGTTGGTTTCGAGGACCGTGAGTTGCACTTTCGCGATGGATGCTCCCAAGTTCTGTGCTCGCTTCTCGGCCGCTTTGAGTAGCAGACCGCCTAGTCCCCGTTCTTGATGGGACCGGTCCACTTTGACTTGGCCGATCTTCAACGTCTCGTCCGTGAAAGATGCATACACGTAACCAGCGAGTGTGCGAGTCTGTTGCGACACTGCTGCCAGCGTGAAGGCACGAGGCCGTGATCCCTGCGCCAACTCGTCAATAATCTTCTCATGTGCTTTTTCGTCGCCCATGCTCACGTTCACGAGCGTGGCAGAATTCTCAGGAGTCAACTTGCTGTACCAGGTCTCCTGTTGATGGAGATGTGCGTGATCTCCAACAAACTCCCGTTCCGAGCGGCGGAGGCGCTTCGAACACCCTGTCACTGATGCACACACGTAGTACCTTAGTTGTCCAGCTGGAAGGCCGACCGGAAACGACATTGTATTGATGTTCAACAACATTCGCACACATAAACACCTATGTTGTAGTTGTTGGTAGTGGTGTTGATGTTGGTGGTGTGGTTGGTATTGTTGGTGTTGCTGCTGCCGTTTCTGTTGCGGTTGCTGTTGTTGGTGGTGGTGTTGCTGATCTCGGTGGTGTGGCTTCATGGTGTTTTTGTTGTTGTTGTTGTTGCTGTTGATGTTGCTGTTGTTGTTGTTGTTGGTGTTGGTGTTGGTGTTGTTGTTGTTGTTGTTGTTGTTGTTGTTGTTGTTGTTGTTGTTGTTGTTGTTGTTGTTGTTGTTGTTGTTGTTGTTGTTGTTGTTGTTGTTGTTGTTGTTGTTGATGTTGCTGTTTCTGTTGCTGATGTTGTTATTGTTGCTGCTGTTGTGCCTGTTGTTGCTGAGGTGGTTGTTGTTGTTGTTGTTGGTGTCATTTTTATTGTTGTCGTTGTTGCTGGTGCTGTTGATGTTGCTGCTGCTGTGATGTTTTTGTGTCTCTGGTGGCTGGTGGTGGTGGTGGTGGTGGTGGTGGTGGTGGTGGTGGTGGTGGTGGTGGTGGTGGTGGTGGTGGTGGTGGTGGTGGTGGTGGTGGTGGTGTATTTGTTGCCCTGTTGGTGTCGATTGTGTTGTGGTTGTTGTTGTGGCTGGTGTTGTTGCTGTTGTTGTTGTTGTTGCTGTTGTTGTTGGTGGTGGTCTTCTTCTTGTTACTGTTCTTGCGATCATGTACTTATACTTGATCTTGTCCTTGTGATCTTGTTCTTGCGGGTTCGCGTAGCGATTAGATTTAGATTCAATATCTAACTTGTCTACTGAGATACTGGTGGTTCTCCACCAGCACGTTGTCCTCGCTCTTTTCGATGAGTGGATCAGACTCCTCCTGGGCCCCAGCCCATTCCCATTCACACAAACGGCTCCGTGTTGCCGCACCAGGGCAAACGCAGGCCGGCGTTGGCGTCACCCATTTGCGTTTGTTGGTGGGCGCCTTGTGATGCAATGCCTTGAGCATCGACTGTGGCGTTCTGCCCTCGGAGGACTGCAGGCGTGTGGAGGCAGCATGCTCGATGAGAAAGTCCGCCACAGCCAAGTGCCCATTTTCGATGGCCAGGAACAAAGCACTCTTCCTGGCTTTGTCGCGAAAGTTCACTTCAAACCCCAGATGAAGCAAGAATTTCACTATGACCAAATTGCCGCGCGCTGCAGCCCAAAACAGAGGCGTCTGCCCATGCACGTCAACTTCCTCTAGATTGACACCCATCTCGATGCACTGCCTTGCTAATAATTCGGATCCCCGGCGGCGCCGTGCCGCAATAAAGAACAGGAAATTCTGTTGCAGAGCTGTATGCCGCCAAGCCATATCTGCCTTTGCTAAGGCCTTCTTGGCATCAACATAGTCTCCATCTCTCACAATATGGAACAGTTCATCTCGGTGCACATTGGGATCTTCGGGTTCATCCGCCATGGCGTCGACACGCACCACTTGGTTCACGCCGGGCCAATTTTGAGCTCGAGCGTCTTGCGAAGAAGACCATTTGAGGAGAATCAAGGACCAGAAGAATATGCAAGATACCATTTGCCTAGAAGTGCATACGCTGAAAAACAGAAACCTAGCCTTAAGCTGTTACCAAGTCCAGCAGCCATAACTAGTATCGTCAGCAATATCAGCAGCAGTATCACCACTGCCAATGTCACCGCTAAGCCGAAATCATCATAACCTCTGCCGGAAATCTTAGGATCCTGAACAGCGAAGTGGTGTAGAGTTGTCTGGGTTTGTGTGCAAGATGTTGGGGCCTTACTGTACGGGATTGAGCATGTGTTGCAGCATGAGAGGTTTTGGGAAAAGCGACAGGGGCTTGTTACACGCAGGGGGGTTGGAAACCCCACAGACTGTGAGCTTATCTTCCCATATCGTCTGCATATCCCGCTTCGACACCCCCGGTAGATTTGAGCTTCGCACCTTGGCCTTGAAGAGGTCCAAGATGAATTGGGCCAGCTCATCGTTCTCGAGCTCTGACTCTAAGAGTCGAAGCCTCAGGGCGAAACTTTGGGCCCCTTGAAGGGCTCTATCAGGGTTCTATAACAAGGGTCGTCTTCCTCTAATGGGTTGGGAAGTGCTTTCACGGTCCTTGATCTAGCAGCCTTGCTCTTGAGCTTGCAATCGCTTCGAAAGGCAATGCGACACTGACTTGTCATCTGCGCCGCGTCACAAAGGTGGGGATCCGGTTTTCAGGGGTCCTTTGAGGTTTTGCGGGGCGGTCCGGGGATACTGGCCATGCATGATCGATGGATGGCGTATGATGAAAGAGAACACGATGAGGATGACGCTGACGATGAGAACGACGACTTGTTTAATAACGGCTACCATCAGGAAGCCAGCAATGCTGACAGAGACCCGAAGAATGCCTTGCTCTCCCGAAGCAACAGAGATGCAAAGAACTGAGCCACAAGCAGGTGCGGCGACGAAGCCCCGCCAGTCGCCAAGTGAGCAGCAAAGCCTGGCGCAAGCACAGACCTGTGTGTTCCTGTAATTAGGATCAGGGGGTGTTTAGCACAGGGCTTGGAAGCACGGCAACTGTACTTAACGTACCTACATATATTATATTGCCCTACAGCAAAGCTTCAAGTGACGCACAACAGAGGGAGTGCCACCAAGGATTGAATCGGTCGGCTACGGCCGCTCCTCAAGCAGAAATTGATGCACTTCACGGAGCCTGAGGCGCGTGCGCCGTAGCGGAGAGAAGGGAAACCCCTCGGAGAGAGCCTTGCCATAACCTGCTCATTGGGTTTTTTGCTTTGTGCGCTTTCGTCAGCGGCTTGCAGGGCCAGAGATATAGTAGTACGAGTTAGATGGTACCCGCCACTCAAGTCTAAATCAACCTTCTTCCTTCATTCTCACAAGCTCAACGCTCGACACCCTGAGCACTCAGAATCACCGTTTTGCCAAAGTGAAAGGCATCCGGAAAGGTCGAAAGAGCTCTGGCCTTTGGCACTTCTCCCCACTTCGGCCCTGACCTGCGAAAGCTGACGTCTGGATGTGCCAGATGTTCGTAGAGTTAAGGGGTTCTGAGACTGTTGCAGAATTTGGGGCTTAGGGCTCAGGGCCCTTAACTTCATTCAAAGTCACCCTAAACCCTAAACCCTCAACCCCCTTGACCCTAAACCCTAAACTACCTAAGACCCTAAACCCTAATTTGAAGTAGGGAAGAGCAGCCGGCGCTTCTCTTGACCCAGGCCTCTTGAGGGGCCGCTTGGGAAGCTCGGCTCCATGACGCTCTTAGGATGCGGCTGCGAAGAATAACAAGCAAATGTACTGCTAATATGCCAGTATATGTCGGCACTACAAGGGGATCCTCTGCAAATGTACTAGCGAACAGTGGAAATAATGGACATTCTTATTCCTCGTTCGGAGCAACAATCTTAGAACTTACTCTTTGCAATAGTCTACCATATACCCAGAAGGTGAGTGAGCCGTGGTTGCAGCTCCTCTCATCCATAGATGCTACTGGTTCTGTGGTCATGTCTTGATTTGATCTTTGACGGGCCATTCCAAGCCCCCTAAATCTTTCGAGTCTGCGAGGTGGAACGGCCCAAGTTCTTCGCCGGATGCCAGCTATGTCGTTGCAGCAGAGTTCGGGTACACGCTCCTGTACAGCTCTTGCATGACGCACACGCTTCGCAGCTCCTTCTTCTACTCCAGTGAAACCGATGAATTGCAGCCGCCAGAGCCAGAGCCAGAGGCCCTCAAATCAACGTGTCTTCAACCATAAGCCCCCTTGCGAGTAGGATGAAGCACATGGCACCGTCCGTTCTGAAACCAAAAGTTTGGCGCGTGCAAAGGGTGACACCCGGAAAGCGTCAGTTCGACGCCTTCGCATTGCTTGCAGGGAGCTCTTGCCCTATTCAAGCACGAAGCCACCCGAAGTCCGCTGAGTCGAATTCGCATCAGCGCACTCCCTGAGGTTCCCCACTGTGTGGCTAGGCTCTCTGCGACGCCATCTTCTGCAGCGAGCCAAACGAGAAGGATGCAAATTCTCTGTATAGGAGACATTGCCATCCTGGTCCTGTCAGAGGAGCCAAGACAAGTAGTAGAACCTACTAAAGGCCCTAGGCACCAGTTGTTGCAGGATGTTCATATGTTTCGACAATTTTCCGCGTATGCGGAGTTGCGTATTGCATTCCACCCTAGCAGGCTCCATGCTCTGTGATACACAGACACATGTGCCGATGATCATGATGATGGCCATGCAAGGTACATGGGTGATAACAGTCATGGCGATCATCAGGACCGTGTCGATGCGGGTCATGATGGTGATGCGGACGATTATGACGCTGATGAAGATGGTGATTCTGTCCACCCTTGCTGTTCCTAGCCCGGAGTCTGCACAAGCCTGATCCACCTGGAACATGATGGCATGATCTCTCGCCGGGTCAGCCTAGGCAGTCTGGCAAACGTCAAGGAGGGGATAAATTGGCTCTATCAGACGGACGAGGCTACGTGCCATTCAATGGCGGAGGACGCTAAATTCTTTTCACAGTTTCCCCCCAGCAAGACCGCTTACGAGATCAAATTCGTGGTTTGAGGACCAATGGTGACCAGGTGATGGTGGTGGTGGTGGTGGTGGTGGTGGTGGTGGTGGTGGTGGTGGTGGTGGTGGTGCTGGTGGTGGTGGTGGTGGTGGTGGTGGTGGTGGTGCTGGTGGTGGTGGTGGTGCTGGTGGTGGTGCTGGTGGTGGTGGTGTTGGTGGTGGCGGCGGCGGTGGCGGTGGTGGGAGTGATGGTGCAGTGACACAAATTTGCGAAGTGGATGGTAAATGTGTGTTAACAGCCGGTTGCTGCAATGCTGCAGATGGACAGGGCATCGCGGTCATCACGTCTGCCAGGGGTAGGACGGTAGAGCCGGTAGAGCCTGCGAAGGCCTGATGAGTCCATGGCGACTACCAGTATCATCAATACCTCCTCTTCAACCTATGAGCACTGCAGCTGATCTTGTGCTTTATAACACAGCTAAAGCTTTGAAGCCCGAATTCGAGCCGAACTCGCCCCAAAACCGAGAGCGGCCCGGCCCGCCTCGGCCAGAAGAGCTCTCTTGGGGCCCAACCCGCTCGAGGAACGAAGCTCACGTAGGAGATCAGGTTGTCCGCGTTGACCTTCGCATTCTTCCGCAGTTTGCGTTGGCCAGGCATCCGCAAACAGGATCTTTACTACTATGGTTATCCATATTGCTACTACTACATCTTCTATGTAGTTGTGTAGTTCTTTTGCATTCGTATTAGTAGCATTAATGTTGCGTTTCTTGGTCGCCAATTAGTATTGCTGCTATTCGTTACTATTGTTGTTCTTACTCTTTTTCTATTGTCCTTACTAAGATCTCAATCATGATTATGATGAGACCTTGCGCGCCTCTAAACCAAAGCACCAATCGAGTATGCACGCTCTCCAAGACTCATCGAGGAGCACCTAACAAACCCTGCGGGCAGCCGCTGCCTCCGCCTCGCTAAGAACGGTGTAGATCTGCATACGGGTCAGTCCCAGCTTTTGGATTGCCACTGCAGGCGCATGCTGAGGTCAGCCCAAAGCCCCACGCGGGCCTGATGCAGCAAGTCTCGCATGTCGTCCAGGCCGAGCAGGCCCGTCATCTCGGTATCCTGTCAGTGCTTCAAGCAAATTGGCGTGGAACGCATACATGTGTGCGTGCGTGTGTGCGTGTGTGTGTGTGTGTCCGCTTTTATGCGTCTCTGTCCTTCCCACAACATGTGTGAACATGAAACATATGATATGTATGTGCTCTTCCACATGCATGTTTTTAGCCATAACCGCTATCCACATGCTAGACATGAAGACATTTTGATGTTTCCTGAGGTGTACACACCCGGTCTGTCGCCACACTTGGCTAAGTAGTGTCTCCTCAACCCTGACCGGAGAGACAGGAATCAGCAGCCTGTTTTCAGGGCGCGTTGTCCCGCAAATCTTTCTCCATCTTCAACCACCGGATCTTTTCATGGTGGCAAGGGATTCGCTTAGCCTTGCAATCGCATGGTGGGAAACTTGACGAGTAGGTCGAGGAAACCTCGAACCCCGATTTTTCGTAGCATCTTTGAGCCCCTTTGTTGGTTTCGAGGACCGTGAGTTGCACTTTCGCGATGGATGCTCCCAAGTTCTGTGCTCGCTTCTCGGCCGCTTTGAGTAGCAGACCGCCTAGTCCCCGTTCTTGATGGGGCCGGTCCACTTTGACTTGGCCGATCTTCAACGTCTCGTCCGTGAAAGATGCATACACATAACCAGCGAGTGTGCGAGTCTGTTGCGACACTGCTGCCAGCGTGAAGGCACGAGGCCGTGATCCCTGCGCCAACTCGTCAATAATCTTCTCATGTGCTTTTTCGTCGCCCATGCTCACGTTCACGAGCGTGGCAGAATTCTCAGGAGTCAACTTGCTGTACCAGGTCTCCTGTTGATGGAGATGTGCGTGATCTCCAACAAACTCCCGCTCCGAGCGGCGGAGGCGCTTCGAACAGCCTGTCACTGATGCACACACGTAGTACCTTAGTTGTCCAGCTGGAAGGCCGACCGGAAACGACATTGTATTGATGTTCAACAACATTCGCACACATAAACACCTATGTTGTAGTTGTTGGTAGTGGTGTTGATGTTGGTGGTGTGGTTGGTATTGTTGGTATTGTTGGTGTTGCTGCTGCCGTTTCTGTTGCGGTTGCTGTTGTTGGTGGTGGTGTTGCTGATCTCGGTGGTGTGGCTTCGTGGTGTTTTTGTTGTTGTTGTTGTTGCTGTTGATGTTGCTGTTGTTGTTGTTGGTGGTGTTGTTGTTGTTGATGTTGCTGTTTCTGTTGCTGATGTTGTTATTGTTGCTGCTGTTGTGCCTGTTGTTGCTGAGGTGGTTGTTGTTGTTGGTGTCATTTTTGTTGTCGTTGTTGCTGGTGCTGTTGATGTTGCTGCTGCTGTGATGTTTTTGTGTCTCTGGTGGCTGGTGGTGGTGGTGCTGGTGGTCGTGGTGGTGGTGGTGGTGGTGGTGGTGGTGGTGGTGGTGGTGGTGGTGGTGGTGGTGGTGGTGGTGGTGGTGGTGGTGGTGGTGTATTTGTTGCCCTGTTGGTGTCGATTGTGTTGTGGTTGTTGTTGTGGCTGGTGTTGTTGCTGTTGTTGTTGTTGCTGTTGTTGTTGGTGGTGGTCTTCTTCTTGTTACTGTTCTTGCGATCATGTACTTATACTTGATCTTGTCCTTGTGATCTTGTTCTTGCGGGTTCGCGTAGCGATTAGATTTAGATTCAATATCTAACTTGTCTACTGAGATACTGGTGGTTCTCCACCAGCACGTTGTCCTCGCTCTTTTCGATGAGTGGATCAGACTCCTCCTGGGCCCCAGCCCATTCCCATTCACAGAAACGGCTCCGTGTTGCCGCACCAGGGCAAACGCAGGCCGGCGTTGGCGTCACCCATTTGCGTTTGTTGGTGGGCGCCTTGTGATGCAATGCCTTGAGCATGGACTGTGGCGTTCTGCCCTCGGAGGACTGCAGGCGTGTGGAGGCAGCATGCTCGATGAGAAAGTCCGCCACAGCCAAGTGCCCATTTTCGATGGCCAGGAACAAAGCACTCTTCCTGGCTTTGTCGCGAAAGTTCACTTCAAACCCCAGATTAAGCAAGAATTTCACTATGACCAAATTGCCGCGCGCTGCAGCCCAAAACAGAGGCGTCTGCCCATGCACGTCAACTTCCTCTAGATTGACACCCATCTCGATGCACTGCCTTGCTAATAATTCGGATCCCCGGCGGCGCCGTGCCGCAATAAAGAACAGGAAATTCTGTTGCAGAGCTGTATGCCGCCAAGCCATATCTGCCTTTGCTAAGGCTTTCTTGGCATCAACATAGTCTCCATCTCTCACAATATGGAACAGTTCATCTCGGTGCACATTGGGATCTTCGGGTTCATCCGCCATGGCGTCGACACGCACCACTTGGTTCACGCCGGGCCAATTTTGAGCTCGAGCGTCTTGCGAAGAAGACCATTTGAGGAGAATCAAGGACCAGAAGAATATGCAAGATACCATTTGCCTAGAAGTGCATACGCTGAAAAACAGAAACCTAGCCTTAAGCTGTTACCAAGTCCAGCAGCCATAACTAGTATCGTCAGCAATATCAGCAGCAGTATCACCACTGCCAATGTCACCGCTAAGCCGAAATCATCATAACCTCTGCCGGAAATCTTAGGATCCTGAACAGCGAAGTGGTGTAGAGTTGTCTGGGTTTGTGTGCAAGATGTTGGGGCCTTACTGTACGGGATTGAGCATGTGTTGCAGCATGAGAGGTTTTGGGAAAAGCGACAGGGGCTTGTTACACGCAGGGGGGTTGGAAACCCCACAGACTGTGAGCTTATCTTCCCATATCGTCTGCATATCCCGCTTCGACACCCCCGGTAGATTTGAGCTTCGCACCTTGGCCTTGAAGAGGTCCAAGATGAATTGGGCCAGCTCATCGTTCTCGAGCTCTGACTCTAAGAGTCGAAGCCTCAGGGCGAAACTTTGGGCCCCTTGAAGGGCTCTATCAGGGTTCTATAACAAGGGTCGTCTTCCTCTAATGGGTTGGAAGTGCTTTCACGGCCCTTGATCTAGCAGCCTTGCTCTTGAGCTTGCAATCGCTTCGAAAGGCAATGCGACACTGACTTGTCATCTGCGCCGCGTCACAAAGGTGGGGATCCGGTTTTCAGGGGTCCTTTGAGGTTTTGCGGGGCGGTCCGGGGATACTGGCCATGCATGATCGATGGATGGCGTATGATGAAAGAGAACACGATGAGGATGACGATGAAAATGAGAACGACGACTTGTTTAATAACGGCTACCATCAGGAAGCCAGCAATGCTGACAGAGACCCGAAGAATGCCTTGCTCTCCCGAAGCAACAGAGATGCAAAGAACTGAGCCACAAGCAGGTCCGGCGACGAAGCCCCGCCAGTCGCCAAGTGAGCAGCAAAGCCTGGCGCAAGCACAGACCTGTGTGTTCCTGTAATTAGGATCAGGGGGTGTTTAACACAGGGCTTGGAAGCACGGCAACTGTACTTAACGTACCTACATATATTATATTGCCCTACAGCAAAGCTTCAAGTGGCGCACAGAGGGAGTGCCACCAAGGATTGAATCGGTCGGCTACGGCCGCTCCTCAAGCAGAAATTGATGCACTTCACGGAGGCTGAGGCGCGTGCGCCGTAGCGGAGAGAAGGGAAACCCCTCGGAGAGAGCCTTGCCATAACCTGCTCATTGGGTTTTTTGCTTTGTGCGCTTTCGTCAGCGGCTTGCAGGGCCAGAGATATAGTAGTACGAGTTAGATGGTACCCGCCACTCAAGTCTAAATCAACCTTCTTCCTTCATTCTCACAAGCTCAACGCTCGACACCCTGAGAACTCAGAATCACCGTTTTGCCAAAGTGCAAGGCATCCGGAAAGGTCGAAAGAGCGCTGGCCTTTGGCACTTCTCCCCACTTCGGCCCTGACCTGCGAAAGCTGACGTCTGGATGTGCCAGATGTTCGTAGAGTTAAGGGGTTCTGAGACTGTTGCAGAATTTGGGGCTTAGGGCTCAGGGCCCTTAACTTCATTAAAAGTCACCCTAAACCCTCAACCCCCTTGACCCTAAACCCTAAACTACCTAAACCCTAAACTACCTAAGACCCTAAACCCTAATTTAAAGTAGGGAAGAGCAGCCGGCGCTTCTCTTGACCCAGGCCTCTTGAGGGGCCGCTTGGGAAGCTCGGCTCCATGATGCGGCTGCGAAGAATAACAAGCAAATGTACTGCTAATATGCCAGTATATGTCGGCACTACAAGGGGATCCTTTGCAAATGTACTAGCGAACAGTGGAAATAATGGACATTCTTATTCCTCGTTCGGAGCAACAATCTTAGAACTTACTCTTTGCAATAGTCTACCACATACCCAGAAGGTGAGTGAGCCGTGGTTGCAGCTCCTCTCATCCATAGATGCTACTGGTTCTGTGGTCATGTCTTGATTTGATCTTTGACGGGCCATTCCAAGCCCCCTAAATCTTTCGAGTCTGCGAGGTGGAACGGCCCAAGTTCTTCGCCGGATGCCAGCTATGTCGTTGCAGCAGAGTTCGGGTACACGCTCCTGTACAGCTCTTGCATGACGCACACGCTTCGCAGCTCCTTCTTCTACTCCAGTGAAACCGATGAATTGCAGCCGCCAGAGCCAGAGCCAGAGGCCCTCAAATCAACGTGTCTTCAACCATAAGCCCCCTTGCGAGTAGGATGAAGCACATGGCACCGTCCGTTCTGAAACCAAAAGTTTGGCGCGTGCAAAGGGTGACACCCGGAAAGCGTCAGTTCGACGCCTTCGCATTGCTTGCAGGGAGCTCTTGCCCTATTCAAGCACGAAGCCACCCGAAGTCCGCTGAGTCGGATTCGCATCAGCGCACTCCCTGAGGTTCCCCACTGTGTGGCTCAGCTCTCTGCGACGCCATCTTCTGCAGCGAGCCAAACAAGAAGGATGCAAATTCTCTGTATAGGAGACATTGCCATCCTGGTCCTGTCAGAGGAGCCAAGACAAGTAGTAGAACCTACTAAAGGCCCTAGGCACCAGTTGTTGCAGGATGTTCATATGTTTCGACAATTTTCCGCGTATGCGGAGTTGCGTATTGCATTCCACCCTAGCACACACGTGCCGATGATCATGATGATGGCCATGCAAGGTACATGGGTGATAACAGTCATGGCGATCATCAGGACCGTGTCGATGCGGGTCATGATGGTGATGCGGACGATTATGACGCTGATGAAGATGGTGATTCTGTCCACCCTTGCTGTTCCTAGCCCGGAGTCTGCACAAGCCTGATCCACCTGGAACATGATGGCATGATCTCTCGCCGGGTCAGCCTAGGCAGTCTGGCAAACGTCAAGGAGGGGATAAATTGGCTCTATCAGACGGACGAGGCTACGTGCCATTCAATGGCGGAGGACGCTAAATTCTTTTCACAGTTTCCCCCCAGCAAGACCGCTTACGAGATCAAATTCGTGGTTTGAGGACCAATGGTGACCAGGTGATGGTGGTGGTGGTGGTGGTGGTGGTGCTGGTGGTGGTGGTGCTGGTGGTGGTGCTGGTGGTGGTGCTGGTGGTGGTGGTGTTGGTGGTGGCGGCGGCGGTGGCGGTGGTGGGAGTGATGGTGCAGTGACACAAATTTGCGAAGTGGATGGTAAATGTGTGTTAACAGCCGGTTGCTGCAATGCTGCAGATGGACAGGGCATCGCGGTCATCACGTCTGCCAGGGGTAGGACGGTAGAGCCGGTAGAGCCTGCGAAGGCCTGATGAGTCCATGGCGACTACCAGTATCATCAATACCTCCTCTTCAACCTATGAGCACTGAAGCTGATCTTGTGCTTTATAACACAGCTAAAGCTTTGAAGCCCGAATTCGAGCCGAACTCGCCCCAAAACCGAGAGCGGCCCGGCCCGCCTCGGCCAGAAGAGCTCTCTTGGGGCCCAACCCGCTCGAGGAACGAAGCTCACGTAGGAGATCAGGTTGTCCGCGTTGACCTTCGCATTCTTCCGCAGTTTGCGTTGGCCAGGCATCCGCAAACAGGATCTTTACTACTATGGTTATCCATATTGCTACTACTACATCTTCTATGTAGTTGTGTAGTTCTTTTGCATTCGTATTAGTAGCATTAATGTTGCGTTTCTTAGTCGCCAATTAGTATTGCTGCTATTCGTTACTATTGTTGTTCTTACTCTTTTTCTATTGTCCTTACTAAGATCTCAATCATGATTATGATGAGACCTTGCGCGCCTCTAAACCAAAGCACCAATCGAGTATGCACGCTCTCCAAGACTCATCGAGGAGCACCTAACAAACCCTGCGGGCAGCCGCTGCCTCCGCCTCGCTAAGAACGGTGTAGATCTGCATACGGGTCAGTCCCAGCTTTTGGATTGCCACTGCAGGCGCATGCTGAGGTCAGCCCAAAGCCCCACGCGGGCCTGATGCAGCAAGTCTCGCATGTCGTCCAGGCCGAGCAGGCCCGTCATCTCGGTATCCTGTCAGTGCTTCAAGCAAATTGGCGTGGAACGCATACATGTGTGCGTGCGTGTGTGCGTGTGTGTGTGTGTGTCCGCTTTTATGAGTCTCTGTCCTTCCCACAACATGTGTGAACATGAAACATATGATATGTATGTGCTCTTCCACATGCATGTTTTTAGCCATAACCGCTATCCACATGCTAGACATGAAGACATTTTGATGTTTCCTGAGGTGTACACACCCGGTCTGTCGCCACACTTGGCTAAGTAGTGTCTCCTCAACCCTGACCGGAGAGACAGGAATCAGCAGCCTGTTTTCAGGGCGTGTTGTCTCGCAAATCTTTCTCCATCTTCAACCACCGGATCTTTTCATGGTGGCAAGGGATTCGCTTAGCCTTGCAATCGCATGGTGGAAAACTTGACGAGTAGGTCGAGGAAACCTCGAACCCCGATTTTTCGTAGCATCTTTGAGCCCCTTTGTTGGTTTCGAGGACCGTGAGTTGCACTTTCGCGATGGATGCTCCCAAGTTCTGTGCTCGCTTCTCGGCCGCTTTGAGTAGCAGACCGCCTAGTCCCCGTTCTTGATGGGGCCGGTCCACTTTGACTTGGCCGATCTTCAACGTCTCGTCCGTGAAAGATGCATACACGTAACCAGCGAGTGTGCGAGTCTGTTGCGACACTGCTGCCAGCGTGAAGGCACGAGGCCGTGATCCCTGCGCCAACTCGTCAATAATCTTCTCATGTGCTTTTTCGTCGCCCATGCTCACGTTCACGAGCGTGGCAGAATTCTCAGGAGTCAACTTGCTGTACCAGGTCTCCTGTTGATGGAGATGTGCGTGATCTCCAACAAACTCCCGTTCCGAGCGGCGGAGGCGCTTCGAACAGCCTGTCACTGATGCACACACGTAGTACCTTAGTTGTCCAGCTGGAAGGCCGACCGGAAACGACATTGTATTGATGTTCAACAACATTCGCACACATAAACACCTATGTTGTAGTTGTTGGTAGTGGTGTTGATGTTGGTGGTGTGGTTGGTATTGTTGGTATTGTTGGTGTTGCTGCTGCCGTTTCTGTTGCGGTTGCTGTTGTTGGTGGTGGTGTTGCTGATCTCGGTGGTGTGGCTTCGTGGTGTTTTTGTTGTTGTTGTTGTTGTTGTTGTCTGTTGATGTTGCTGTTGTTGTTGTTGGTGGTGTTGTTGTTGTTGATGTTGCTGTTTCTGTTGCTGATGTTGTTATTGTTGCTGCTGTTGTGCCTGTTGTTGCTGAGGTGGTTGTTGTTGTTGGAATCATTTTTGTTGTCGTTGTTGCTGGTGCTGTTGATGTTGCTGCTGCTGCGATGTTTTTGTGTCTCTGGTGGCTGGTGGTGGTGGTGCTGGTGGTCGTGGTGGTGGTGGTGGTGGTGGTGGTGGTGGTGGTGGTGGTGGTGGTGGTGGTGGTGGTGGTGGTGGTGGTGGTGGTGTATTTGTTGCCCTGTTGGTGTCGATTGTGTTGTGGTTGTTGTTGTGGCTGGTGTTGTTGCTGTTGTTGTTGTTGCTGTTGTTGTTGGTGGTGGTCTTCTTCTTGTTACTGTTCTTGCGATCATGTACTTATACTTGATCTTGTCCTTGTGATCTTGTTCTTGCGGGTTCGCGTAGCGATTAGATTTAGATTCAATATCTAACTTGTCTACTGAGATACTGGTGGTTCTCCACCAGCACGTTGTCCTCGCTCTTTTCGATGAGTGGATCAGACTCCTCCTGGGCCCCAGCCCATTCCCATTCACAGAAACGGCTCCGTGTTGCCGCACCAGGGCAAACGCAGGCCGGCGTTGGCGTCACCCATTTGCGTTTGTTGGTGGGCGCCTTGTGATGCAATGCCTTGAGCATGGACTGTGGCGTTCTGCCCTCGGAGGACTGCAGGCGTGTGGAGGCAGCATGCTCGATGAGAAAGTCCGCCACAGCCAAGTGCCCATTTTCGATGGCCAGGAACAAAGCACTCTTCCTGGCTTTGTCGCGAAAGTTCACTTCAAACCCCAGATTAAGCAAGAATTTCACTATGACCAAATTGCCGCGCGCTGCAGCCCAAAACAGAGGCGTCTGCCCATGCACGTCAACTTCCTCTAGATTGACACCCATCTCGATGCACTGCCTTGCTAATAATTCGGATCCCCGGCGGCGCCGTGCCGCAATAAAGAACAGGAAATTCTGTTGCAGAGCTGTATGCCGCCAAGCCATATCTGCCTTTGCTAAGGCCTTCTTGGCATCAACATAGTCTCCATCTCTCACAAGATGGAACAGTTCATCTCGGTGCACATTGGGATCTTCGGGTTCATCCGCCATGGCGTCGACACGCACCACTTGGTTCACGCCGGGCCAATTTTGAGCTCGAGCGTCTTGCGAAGAAGACCATTTGAGGAGAATCAAGGACCAGAAGAATATGCAAGATACCATTTGCCTAGAAGTGCATACGCTGAAAAACAGAAACCTAGCCTTAAGCTGTTACCAAGTCCAGCAGCCATAACTAGTATCGTCAGCAATATCAGCAGCAGTATCACCACTGCCAATGTCACCGCTAAGCCGAAATCATCATAACCTCTGCCGGAAATCTTAGGATCCTGAACAGCGAAGTGGTGTAGAGTTGTCTGGGTTTGTGTGCAAGATGTTGGGGCCTTACTGTACGGGATTGAGCATGTGTTGCAGCATGAGAGGTTTTGGGAAAAGCGACAGGGGCTTGTTACACGCAGGGGGGTTGGAAACCCCACAGACTGTGAGCTTATCTTCCCATATCGTCTGCATATCCCGCTTCGACACCCCCCGAAGGATTTGAGCTTCGCACCTTGGCCTTGAAGAGGTCCAAGATGAATTGGGCCAGCTCATCGTTCTCGAGCTCTGACTCTAAGAGTCGAAGCCTCAGGGCGAAACTTTGGGCCCCTTGAAGGGCTCTATCAGGGTTCTATAACAAGGGTCGTCTTCCTCTAATGGGTTGGGAAGTGCTTTCACGGTCCTTGATCTAGCAGCCTTGCTCTTGAGCTTGCAATCGCTTCGAAAGGCAATGCGACACTGACTTGTCATCTGCGCCGCGTCACAAAGGTGGGGATCCGGTTTTCAGGGGTCCTTTGAGGTTTTGCGGGGCGGTCCGGGGATACTGGCCATGCATGATCGATGGATGGCGTATGATGAAAGAGAACACGATGAGGATGACGATGACGATGAGAACGACGACTTGTTTAATAACGGCTACCATCAGGAAGCCAGCAATGCTGACAGAGACCCGAAGAATGCCTTGCTCTCCCGAAGCAACAGAGATGCAAAGAACTGAGCCACAAGCAGGTCCGGCGACGAAGCCCCGCCAGTCGCCAAGTGAGCAGCAAAGCCTGGCGCAAGCACAGACCTGTGTGTTCCTGTAATTAGGATCAGGGGGTGTTTAGCACAGGGCTTGGAAGCACGGCAACTGTACTTAACGTACCTACACATATTATATTGCCCTACAGCAAAGCTTCAAGTGGCGCACAACAGAGGGAGTGCCACCAAGGATTGAATCGGTCGGCTACGGCCGCTCCTCAAGCAGAAATTGATGCACTTCACGGAGGCTGAGGAGCGTGCGCCGTAGCGGAGAGAAGGGAAACCCCTCGGAGAGAGCCTTGCCATGACCTGCTCATTGGTTTTTTTGCTTTGTGCGCTTTCGTCAGCGGCTTGCAGGGCCAGAGATATAGTAGTACGAGTTAGATGGTACCCGCCACTCAAGTCTAAATCAACCTTCTTCCTTCATTCTCACAAGCTCAACGCTCGACACCCTGAGCACTCAGAATCACCGTTTTGCCAAAGTGCAAGGCATCCGGAAAGGTCGAAAGAGCGCTGGCCTTTGGCACTTCTCCCCACTTCGGCCCTGACCTGCGAAAGCTGACGTCTGGATGTGCCAGATGTTCGTAGAGTTAAGGGGTTCTGAGACTGTTGCAGAATTTGGGGCTTAGGGCTCAGGGCCCTTAACTTCATTAAAAGTCACCCTAAACCCTCAACCCCCTTGACCCTAAACCCTAAACTACCTAAACCCTAAACTACCTAAAACCCTAAACGCTAATTTAGAGTAGGGAAGAGCAGCCGGCGCTTCTCTTGACCCAGGCCTCTTGAGGGGCCGCTTGGGAAGCTCGGCTCCATGATGCGGCTGCGAAGAATAACAAGCAAATGTACTGCTAATATGCCAGTATATGTCGGCACTACAAGGGGATCCTCTGCAAATGTACTAGCGAACAGTGGAAATAATGGACATTCTTATTCCTCGTTCGGAGCAACAATCTTAGAACTTACTCTTTGCAATAGTCTACCATATACCCAGAAGGTGAGTGAGCCGTGGTTGCAGCTCCTCTCATCCATAGATGCTACTGGTTCTGTGGTCATGTCGTGATTTGATCTTTGACGGGCCATTCCAAGCCCCCTAAATCTTTCGAGTCTGCGAGGTGGAACGGCCCAAGTTCTTCGCCGGATGCCAGCTATGTCGTTGCAGCAGAGTTCGGGTACACGCTCCTGTACAGCTCTTGCATGACGCACACGCTTCGCAGCTCCTTCTTCTACTCCAGTGAAACCGATGAATTGCAGCCGCCAGAGCCAGAGCCAAAGGCCCTCAAGTCAACGTGTCTTCAACCATAAGCCCCCTTGCGAGTAGGATGAAGCACATGGCACCGTCCGTTCTGAAACCAAAAGTTTGGCGCGTGCAAAGGGTGACACCTGGAAAGCGTCAGTTCGACGCCTTCGCATTGCTGGGAGCTCTTGCCCTATTGAGGCACGACGCCACCCGAAGTCCGCTGAGTCGGATTCGCATCAGCGCACCCATGAGCACGTGGTCCACCAACTCGCTCATCCTGCGCAGGAGGTTCAGCTGAAGGTGAAAGGAAAAACTGTATCCGTGTCCAAGCTTCGCCAGCCGACCTCGACAAGTCGTGCTTTGTCCAAGCTTTTAACCTCTTTAACCTCTTTGCACGCGGTGATGCGGTAGCATCACAAGTCCTTCAAAACCCCCTTAACCCGAAAATCCTAAACCATGTAAAAAACCTGTCAGCCGACATTGAGAAGAATTGGCTCCTGATTTGGCGCGGCGCAGGCTCTTCACCAGAGCCCAGATCTGGGACTTTGCCTGGTTTAGCTCTTCAGCATCAGGGACATGCAAGTGAATTCGAGCTGTTCGGGGTATTCGAAACTTCGGGTTGGTAATTGTAAGTTTAGGGTTTAAGGCTTGGCGTTTACCACACTCAGAACCCACCCCACGCACCCACCCCAAGGTACATTTTGAACAACCGGCGTTACCTGTCAAAAAATAGTAACCTCCACTGATGAAGCAAGCCTACACCCTCTTCCCCAAAACCCGAAAAAATACGAGTCTTGAAGTGCAGCGTAGTTTAGGAAAAGCCAGCTTCCACAGGCAGTGATGTCTCTGGCCTCCTCCACAGGAACTTCGTCCACAGGGTAGGTGGTACCTGCAGTTCTTCCAATTTCTGACGTATCTGATAACTTCAACACAGCTCTACAAGACTTCCAACGATCAATACTTGTCTAAGTGTTGTACAAGTTGCACTTATGGCCATTGCCCCATGGCTGCTTCCCTTCCTGTGTCCGTGCCATCACTACCATGCTCATAAGAATTGCCTTGCTACGCTTGCCTTTGCCATTCCAGCTGCTAGAATTAGAACTACGCCCACGGCATTATTGCGAGTGTAGCTGTTGGGCTGTTGCTGTTGCTGCCGGTGTTGCTCTTGTTGTGGTTGTGGTTGTCGTTGTGGTTGTGGCGGTCGTTGTTGTTGTTGCAGCCACTACGGATCACAGCAGGCTGTGTAGCTTTGCTAACAAGGCTCTGGGTACCAACGCTAGAGGCTCGCAACGTCCCCCTTCTGCGAAGCTTGGGGACTGTCCTCTTTCTGAGCCATAGCTATTCCCAGAGCCGCGTGCCGCTGTGATCTGCCGGGTCCCAATTCCCGGGCCTCTGTCTGCAGTTATACAACCTTGGCATGAGGTAAGCGGTAGTGGTTTTCACCTTTCCGCAGGGTGAAAGGAGTCGGATTGAGTTCTGTCTTTCCGGCGAAACTAGCGGACGGCGCAATCGCCAATGCACCAGCATTCTTTTGAGAGCATTCGCAAGAAGGCCTTTCGCAAGGCTTGCAATAAGGTACATAGGACATAGAACACAAGACAGCATCCCGTACCGGAATGGTACGTTGACGCCCGAACATTTGCGCTGCAGTGGACTCACCCCGCCCTCCCCTCCTCCCCTCCCCGTGCTGTCTGGCTCCACGATCTCTCCTTCAGGTCCTTCAGGTCCCTCCGCCAGTTTTCGCTCGCGCCCGAGAGGCGGTCGTGCCAGCAAGTCTCTTCGTGTTCTCTCCTGGAACGCTGGGCACCTTGGCATGCAACAATGGGCAGAGGTGAAGACGTGGCTTCGCACGGAGGCCAAGTATGTCTGCGACATTCTGGTCTTGCAGGAAACTCACTGGAGTGAAACAGCAGAGTTTGATGTTGAGGGTTGGCACTGCGTGAGCTCCGCCACAAAAGGGGCTGCCCGGGCACCCAAAGCTAAAACTGCTCCAGGGCAACGCTCCAAGCAAGGCGCTGCCACGCAGCCAGCTGTTCATGACACAAGTCGAGCGGACGGTGTCATGGTTCTCCTTTCTCCTCAAATAGACAAGAAACGGATTAGGTGGCGAGAGCAACGCCGCGGCAGGCTCATTCAGGTCAGTTTCCCGTGGCTTGGGGCCCGCGTGCATGTCTTTGCGGTCTATCAACATGCGTGGTCTTCTAAGAAGTCTCCTCAGCAGAACGAGGAAGACCGCTCACACTTGCTCCGCGATCTGTCAGCAGCGATTCGGGCAATCCCGGCGAGGGATACCTTTCTCTTGGCAGGCGATTTTAACGCTCGTTTGACTCCGCAGGAGGGTCTGGTGGGCCAGTGTAGCACACGGAAGGAGCATGCTCAAATGCAGGATGAGCCGTTCCAGGCTTTGGTTTCCTCCCATCGGTTGGTAGCTCTTAACACTTGGTCCTGTGGCGCTGGTCACACCTTCTTCTTGAATGGACGGGGCTCGCAAATTGACTTTTTGCTAACCTCCGAGGCTTCGGCCAAGGGTCCGGCAAAACAGTCTGGGCCATGCAAGGATCTTCAGCTCGGCAGGTGGAAGCGAGGCGGCCACCTTCCAGTCTTGGCTCATCTCCGACCCACTCAGCACTGGAATTTGCCTAAGCCCACTTGCCCCCCCTGACCTTTCATAAGGAAGCTCTAGAGACGGCTGTCCGTTCAGATCTGCCGATAGCCGGCCGCATGCAGGACTGGGTGGGCCAGCCTCTGTCCTCTCGGAACCACACGCCTGATGAAGTCAATCAGGTGCTGCTGGAGGCCTCTGCTTTGTTCTTTCCCAAGCCTCGGCCGCAGCAAGCTCCGGAAACTGCTCAGCATCGTGCGACGTTGCGCATGTGGAACAGAGTCGCTCACATCCGCTCCTTGCATGAGGACTCCATCACCACTTTATCCGACCTGGATCATTATTTGGAGGACCTGAGTCGCTGGCATAAGCAGGCTCTCTACTTAGCCAAGGAGGAACGTCACCGAGCTTTTCAGGCAGAGGTGGATGAGGCGTGTGCCAGACACGATTCGTACATCGCGCATAAGACCCTAAAGAAGCTCCGACCATGGGAGCCGCAAACCAAGGCCCAGCTTCAGGGACCGGATGGCCTGCTTTTGGATTCACACTCTGAGCTTCGTTTGCTTCGCGAACACGTGGAACAGGTCTTTGCCAGACATCCTCCCCTCGAACACCAAGTGGGATCGCTGCCGGAAATCCCGGCTGGTCTGCTGGCCAAGCACATCGGCTCCATTAGACCGCACAAGGCGGTCCCGCAGCGTTCGGCTCCGGCGGCTGCCTGGCGGCTGTGCTCGGTAGATGCGGGAGCGGCGCTAGCAGCAACGCTGCAATCTCGGGGGCAACGCCCATTGCCGGCTGCTGAGGTTCTTCAGCCGCCTCTAAAGGATGCTGACTTGTGTTTTATTCCCAAGCCTAACAAGCCGGCTACGAAGCCCGGCAACCTTCGTCCCCTCGGCATCATTCGGCCGGATGGCAAAGGCTTGGCGGGGGCTTGTAAGCTGTCTCCCTACACGGCTGACTATCTCCGGGGTCTCCCGCAATTTGCCTACCAACCCCAACGTGGTCTTTCCGATGCCTTGAGCAGGGTCGTTGGCCATGTCACTCAGGTACGCAGCAACTGCCAAGAGGCCCGACGTACCAGGCATCAGCTTCACTCGGGGCGAACTCGTCCCCAGCTGGTAGGTGGTATCTGTTTTGCCCTGGACTTGTCACAGGCCTTTGACATGGTGAGCAGGACAGACCTGCTCAACACCCTGCGGGATGCGGGAGTCCCTCAGGACCTCATGGACTTAGTCGCCTCATTACATGCTGGTAGTGCTTACACTACACGTTTCGCACGCAGGGTGAAGAGGACACAGTCCAATCCACAGCTGGCATTAAACAGGGTTGTAGGCTTGCCCCTACTCTTTTCTCCATGCTTACGGGCACCATCTTTCGGGAGCTCGCAGCTCTTGTCGGTGCTCGTGCCGTGGTGGATTACCTCACAGGCTACGCGGATGATCTGACGGTTCACCGCGAAATCCACTCATTGGAAGACCTGGACCGCGCTCATGCTCTGATTGAGCAGCTATTGCAGTTGGTCCGCAGTCATGGATTTGCTGTCAATGGTGCCAAATGCACCGTCATGATAAAGCTCGAGGGCCAACAGGCGCAACGCGCCATTTCCAAGCACACGTATTGGCGCACCGCGCCTGACGGTACTCGCCACAAGATGTGGCGGCTGGGAGCGTCCAAGTCTCACGAAGGCTTTCCGATGGTGACGACCTTTAAGTATCTCGGAGTCATGCTCCCTTACTCTAACTTTGAGAAGGCTACTCTCACGTTTTTCGGTTGCAGGAGGGCAATGCCGAATTGCAGCAGGCACGTCGCTTCGTTCACAACAGACGCACGGCAGGGCCGGCATCGCGGTTGCATATCTGGCATAGTACTGTCTGGGCCACAGTGGCCTCTGGGTTGGTGGACGTGGGCTTGACTTTGGAGACAGCCAAACTCTTGCGGGCTTGGCACGCTCGAAAAATCCGAGCTGTACTGAACAAGCCAGTGCACCTTACACACATATCGACCGCTGACCTCTATGCCTCCCACGAGATCATGGATCCTGTTTGTAAGCTGCAGGCGAGACAAGCCAATCGTGTCAAGCGCCTAAGTCTTCGCCAGCAGACAACCCCTGCAGGTGATGTCTCTCTGACACAGCAGGCGCTTCACCAAGCAGAGGCGCTCTCTGCCAGGTACGCAGACGTTCTGCAACAACTCTCCGAGGACACAGCGCAGCAGGAGGCCCCTCCCTCTTTCGCATGTCCGACGTGTGCTCAGGCCTTCGACACTGAGGTTGGTCTTCGCACCCACCAGGCCCGCAAGCATCCAGGCTCAGTTCTTAGATATGTCCCTCGAGGTTTTTCCCACACTCTCTCCGCAGGAGGGCTCCCCAAGTGTGCAGCCTGCAACAGGCAATTCCCTCAAATGAAGGGCTTAAAAGATCACCTGCTATCTGGCGCCTGTTCGGAGCCAGCTAGGTTAAAGGAGCTGGATGACGCGGCGCACCCTCCCTCAGACTCGCAGCTGATGCCCCGGTTGCATCCCAGGCAGCAGCGCTTGCATGACACCTTGACTACACACACAGCTGTTGAACTAGGAAGGTTGGATGAGTCTCAGGACCTTATGTCGTATTGCTTGCTGTGTGGGTTCTGGACTCCAGACAACACCAAACTCAAATCCCACATCAGGCAGGCCCACAAGCCCGAATGGGCGGCTCATGGGGCAGCTGCCACATCACAGAGCAGCAAATCAGGTCTGGTCCTTGTCAAGGGCATGCCCTGTCCGTGCTGTCGCAAGCAGGTTACGGACAGGAGGCAGCATCCGGCACAGTGTCCGATACTGTTTCAGATTCTGTTCCATGACTTGGCTCATGATCTCTCCCGCTGTCAGGGTGGACCGCTACGTAGGTACATGCCAATGGCTGGCGCGACACCGGGCCATGCTCCCAAACAGGACGGCAATACCGCTGTCGGAGCAACGCCCCTGACTCGCCAGGCAACGCCTGCAGGCCCCTTGCCACCGAATCCAGAGGCAGAAGGATCAAAGGACGGAGCACTCGCTGCTCTCCGCTCGTTGCGCAATATCTCTAACTACTGCTATGTCAACTCTACGCTTTCGGCATTGGTGCCGACGCGCATCTTGCTTGAGCACGGAAGAGCCAGCACGTCCCTCCACCACGAAGTGGCTGACTCCGCCTCTGGTTCCCCTTTTACCCTGACTGCCTCTTTCACACTTCGTCATCTCACTCCCACCTGGCGCTATGATGGTCAACAGCAAGATGCTTCGGAGTTCCTGGTAGCCTTGTTCGCTGGAATTACTGGGTTTCCAATCGCAAGACCCTGGGAAGTCAGGGATGGGCGCACTACTGAAGTAACGGATGAGGGTGGTCCGCTCGCCCTGCTGCCGGCTCCGACGGCAGCTGGCTCTCACGAACTTCAGGAGCTGATCTCTCGGTGGTCCGGTCAGCCAGTGTACGCTGCTTTTCGAGGGCAGCAACGGCTGGTGGTTCTCTCGGTGGCACGATTCGTTGAAGGTCGCAAGCTCAGTTATGCCGTAACATGTCTACATCGCCCTGTTCAGCTCCCGCAGTGGGCCCCGACGGGCTCCGTTCAACTAGAGCACGGATGGGTCCAGTCCTGTGTCTTTCATATCGGAGACACTCCGCACAGTGGACACTAAGCAACCCCGATCAACCTTGGTTCAGCACAGACGATGGTCGTCCGTCGGTTCCGGCCTCAGATTCCGATCTCAGGCAAGCACGCCACGGCTGTTATGTGCTGTTAGTGCGACATGGTTCATTACCGCGCACAGCGGAGGCTGGCCCTATGCCAGTCCATGTTTCTGATGATTAAGCTGAGGGTTCCCCTGCAGCCAGGGGCCCCTACTTCCTTTTACCGGGAGGGGGCGACCCACTGGCTTCGTGGGACCGACCTGCCTGCACGGCAGGGAGCAGGAACGCTGTCACTCAGTTTTGCTGCTCAAGTTGCACAGACTGCCACGGGCTATATATCACCTTTGCGACCTTACGGCCCATCGCCTCTGATTGAGAGTGACCATGAGTGGGACGCCACGCAACAGGCACTCTGAGTGACGGTCCCGCGGGGTACGGCTCATCAATCATTGGTTCGTGGACATGGGACGCCATAGTCCACACTGAGGGTGTCGGAGGGTTTCTCACCCACGCCTGAGTAATATGAGCTGGCTTCTGATGTAGCTTGTAGAGTATAGCTCTCTCCTTACGTTAGCTTGTTCTCAGTGCTCTCGGGCCCAGGCCCTTTGCATTTCTGCTCTCAGACCTTTGCTCAGGTGCAAAGGCAGTCTCACACGCCCGCAATGAGCAGAGCCCGCTCGCTCAGCGTCCAATAAATAAATTTGTTGTTGTTGTTGTTGTTGCTGTTGCTGCTGGTGGCGGTGGTGGTCGTGGTGGCGGTCGTGGTGGGGTGGCGCATCAAAAAGTAACTTTGTACCAAAAAACTAAACCACAATGTTCAAGAACAGACTTTAAAGCAGGATCTAAAAGCAATTAAACCAGTACTTTTGCAACAGGGCTACAGAAAAACCTAAGGGGTAGGGATCAACGGATCAACGAACAACAAATCTAGATCAACAAAATTTTTAAATTGGCCGTAGTAGTCAGGTAGTGGTCCCGTAGCAGTAGCAGTAGTACTCGTGGTCGTCGTCGTCGTCACAACTTGCAAGGTCCTGTTTTGGCCCAAGCTATCAGGGGACTACAACTTAGAGTCTATCTAGGTTAGGACCGGTTAGGACTGAATCCACCGCTTTGCAGGGCGCACCCAGCATCCGGCTGCAGGCTTCGACCTCCTTTCCATCCAGGAGAGCGGCACTGGGCGCAGGGAGCCCGCATGCACTCTCTCTCTCTTCTCCCGGTGGGCCTAACGACTACGGTAGTCGGCCTTCTGATGCAAGAACCTGATGATATCAGATGGCTTAAGGCCCTATACACCAACCATACCAGACTCAAGCCCCGGACCCCAACTTGTAGCAGCGCCTCTGCCACCATAAACGTACACGCTGAGCTTTGCCCGACACCCTATACTCTAAACACATAGCTGAAAACCCCGGAAAGCAGTTGATTGCCAGACTGATCCCATTTCCACCGTGCTTGCTCACCGTGCTTGCTTCTGCTTCGACAGGGGGCTCCCCGACAATCGTGCTACAACCTCACGTCCTCCAAGCGAATGACGATTAGAGCGGGGGTGACGGTAGTGGTCCTAACCTTAACTTCGGAATAGCATTCCGAGGCTCTGGCCTGGAGAGCCGGGTCATCACGTCTGCCAGGGGTAGGACGGTAGAGCCTGTGAAGGCCTGGTGAGTCCGGAGTGGGGTTGAAAGAGAAGGCCTCGGGGTTGGGGCTTCGGGTTAGATTTTGGGTGGGGCGAGTCGCACGGAACTGGGAGGTGCACAGCCTCAGCCCCCGACTAGACCAGACTTTTGCATTGACCCCTGTCCTTTCTTTGTCAAGGAAAAAGGTGTCAGAAGGATCCCAGAGCCCTAAACCCTTAACTCCTAGTCCTAAACCCTAAACGGAGCCCGACAGCTGAGACGGTGCGAGGCCTCGTCCAAAATTGAGTAGAACTTCTCCTCGTCCTGCGCCCGTCGTGAGGGCAAAGTCATGCGCAAAGAGCTGCAGGATAGAGGCGACCCATCGACTACCTACCCTAAGGCCCCAAAGTAGTTCCTTTTGGGGGTTCGTATAAGGAATCGTATTAGGTAATCCCAAAAAGGAACTACTATGGAGCCTCTGGGTAGACCCTCCATCTACCCTCTATTAGACCCTGAATGCCCACTATTTGGGACCATATACCCCTATTCGAGGGTAAACGGAGGGTCCTGGTATACGATAAAACCATAATATGAGAGTATCACCTAGCAGAATGTAGTATAACAGTTAACATCTGAAATCATATAGTCATCAGGAGTGAGCAATTATGCAAGAGATGGTCCGATAGTATGAAGAAGCATTGCAGTTATGCCCTGGTCGTATCCAGAGCGACTTCTTGAAGAGACTCGAACCACATCGGCGCAATAGGCGATACGCTGAGGACTTAAATGCCAGGACATCTTTCTTGACTTGATTTTTCAGAATTCAGAGCAGCCCCACCAAAAAGCCGGCAGTAGGTGCCTGCGCGACTGAGTCGTTCTTCACGATGGCCTTCCTTGGTGGACGAACCACGTCCGGCAGCGACCGGCATCAGCCCGAGACGTCTGACCGTTTCCCAGTCTGGAACACCCAGTGAGTGCGACACAGACAGCGAAAGACAGCGACCCCGCAAGATTGCGCTGGGTTGATCAACCCTATATAAACCCTAGACACTAAACCGTGACTCTAACTCTGCTATCTTGCAGCCCAGGATCTCGAAGGACAGCATGGAGCGGATGAGGCCAACCTTTCAGATGCTGTTTGGGACTCCATGGCGACTACCATTATTATCAATACCCCCTCTGTCGGGGCTTCCCTCATCTTCAACCTATGAGCACCGCAGCTTGTCTTGTGCTTTATCACACAGCTTGAGCTTTGAACCCCGGACTCGAGCCGAACTCGCCCCAAAACCGAGAGCGGCCCGGGCCCGTCTCGGCCAGAAGAGCTCGCTTGGGGCCCAGACCGCTCGAGGAACGAAGCTCGCGTAGGAGATCAGGTTGTCCGCGTTGACCTTCGCTTCTTCCGCAATTCGCATTGGCCAGGCATCCACTAACAGGATCATCATCACGATGGCTATTCATATTGCTATTGCTACACTTTCTATCTAATTGTTTAATTTCTTCGGTGTTAGTATTAGTAGCAATAAAGTTGCGTTTCGTCGTAGCAACAGTGTATTGCTGTTAATCAATATTATTGTTGTTCTTACTCGCTACTATTATCTTTATTGAGATCTAAATGATGATTATGATGAGACCTTGCTCGCCTCTAAACTAAAGCACCAATCGATGCGCGCAGCCGCTGCCTCTGCCTCGCTAAGAACCGTGTAGATCTGCATGCGGGTCAGTCCCAGCATCGCCTGCGGAGGATGTTTCAGAGTTCAGACAATCTGTGTCCTACACGTCTCGCTTTTGGATTGACACTGCAGGCGCACGCTGAGGTCAGCTGAAACTAAAGCCCCACGCGGGCCTGATGCAGCAAGTCTCGCATGTCGTCCAGGCCGAGCAGGCCCGTCATCTCGGTATCCTGTTCGTGTTTCAGGCAATTGGCGTGGAACGCATACATGTGTTTGTGTGTGTGTGTGCGCGCGTGCTTACATGCGTCTCTGTCCTTCCCAAGGAGCTCGGGACAAAATGCGTGAACATGAAGCATATGATATGTGCTCGTCCACATGCCAGATTTTAGCCATAACCGTTATCCACATGCTAGACATGAAGACATATTGATGTCCGAGGTGTACAGCCGTTCTGTCGTCACGCTTGGCTAGCGGCTCCTCAACTCTGACCAGGGACACAGAAAGAAGCAGCCTGTTTTCAGGGCGTGCTGTGCCGCAAATATTTCTCCATCTTCAGCCACCGGATTTTTTCATGGTGGCAAGGAATTCGCTTAGCCTTGCAGGAGCACGGTGGAAAACTTGACGAGTAGGTCGTGGAAACCTCGAATCCCGCCTTTGCGTAGCATCTTTGAGCCCCTTTGTTGGTTTCGAGGACCGTGAGTTGCACTCTCGAGATGGATGCTCCCAAGTTCTCTGCTTTCTTCTCGGCCGCTTTGAGTAGCAGACCGCCTAGTCCCCGTTCTTGATGGGGGCGGTCCACCTTCACTTGGCCGATCTTCAACGTCTCGTCCGTGAAAGATGCATACACGTAACCAGCGAGTGTGCGAGTCTGTTGCGACACTGCTGCCAGCGTGAAGGCACGAGGCCGTGATCCCTGCGCCAACTCGTCGATGGTTTTCTCATGTGCTTTTTCGTCGCCCATGCTCACGCTCACGAGCGCGGCAGACTTCTCAGGAGTCAAGTTGCTGTACCAGGTCTCCTGCTGATGGAGATGTGCGTGATCTCCAACAAACTCCCGTTCCGAGCGGCGGAGACGCTTCGAACACCCCGTCACTGACGAGCACACGTAGTACCTTAGCTGTCCGCTTAGAAGAAGATTTCCAAAAACATGCGCACACACAAACACCCCAAGTTCTTGTTGTTGTTGTTGGTGGTGGTGGCGGTTGTGGTGGTGGTGGTGGTGGTGGTGGTGGTGGTGGTGGTGGTGGTGGTGGTGGTGGTGGTGGTGGTGGTGGTGGTGGTGGTGGTGTTGCTGTTGCTATGGCTGTTGCTGATGCTGTTGTTGTTGTTGTTGCTGTTGCTATTACTGTTCTTGTTCTTGTTATCGTCGTTGTTCTGGTTATTGTTCGCGTTGCTGTTTCTGTTGCTGTTGCTGCCGTTAGTAGTGGTGGTGATGATGGTGTCGTCGTGTTGCTGGCTTTTGTTTGTTGTCGTTGCTGTGGTTGTCGCTGTTGTTGCTGCTGTTGGTGTCTTTTGTTGATTGTGCTTTTTTGTTGTTGGTGGTGTTCTCCTTATTCTTCCTGTTCTTGCGATCTTGCTATTGTGCTTGTTTTTGTTCTTGTGATCTTGTTCTTGCGGGTTCGCGCAGCGGTTAATTTGACATCCGCACTAGCTTGTGAACTGAGATACTGCGCGTTCTCCACGAGCACGTTGTCCTCCTTTTTTTCAATCAGTGGCTCAGTCTCCTCCTGGGCCCCGGCCCATTCCCACTGGGCAAAGCGGCTCCGTGTTGCCGCGCCCGGACACGCGCAAGCCGGTGTCGGCGACACCCAGGGCCTCTTCCGGCTGGGGGCCTTGTGCCCCAAGGCCTTCAGCATGGCCTGAGGCGTTCGTCCGTCAGCGGAGTGGATCAGAACGGAAGCCGACCTTTCGATCAGGTAATCGACCACGTCCATGTGATTCTTCTCAATGGCAAAGAAGAGAGCAGTCTTCCTGGCCTTGTCGCGAAAGTTCACTTCAAACCCCAGATTAAGCAAGAATTTCACTATGACCAAATTGCCGCGCGCTGCGGCGTAATACAGAGGCGTCTGCCCATGAACATCCACTTCCTCTAGATTAACGCCCATCTCGATGCACTGCCTTGCTAATAATTCGGATCCCCGGCGGCGCCGTGCCGCAATGAAGAACAAGAAATTTTGTTGAAGAGCTGTATGCCGCCAAGCCATATCTGCCTGTGCTAGGGCCTTCTTGGCATCAACATAGTCGCCATCTCTCACAATATGGAACAGCTCATCTCGGTTCACATGGGGATCTTCCGGTTCATCCGCCATGGCGGCGAAACGCACCCCTTGGTTCACGCCGTGCCAATTTTGAGCTCGAGCGTCTTGCGAAGAAGACCATTTGAGGAGAATCAAGGACCAGAAGAATATGCAAGATGCCATTTGCCTAGAAGTGCATACGCTGAAAAACAGAAACCTAGCCTTAAGCTGTTACCAAGTCCAGCAGCCACAACTAGTATCGTCAGCAATATCAGCAGCAGTATCACCACTGCCAATGTCACCGCTAAGCCGGAATCATCATGACCTCTGCCGCAACCACATGAAGGGGCGTGTGTAACAAGGACATGTCGCTTTTCCCACAACCTCTCATGCTGCAACACACGCTCAATCCCGTACAGTAAGTCCCCAACATCTTGCACACAAACCCAGACAACTCTACACCACTTCGCTGTTCAGGATCCTAAGATTTCCACGGCCCTTGAACCTTTCTCTAGATGACTCCCGAAGGCCCTCGATCTCCCCCGAGATCCTCTGTATATCCGGCTTCGAACCAGCACTCCCCAAGTATCACTTAAAGGAGGCCCCATGGTCCTCAATGGTGGGCACTTAGCCTCCAGGAAGGGGGTAGTTGCAGGGTCGTTGGAAACCCCACAGACTTTGAGCTTATCTTCCCATATCGTCTGCATATCCCGCTTCGACACCCCCGGTAGATTTGAGCTTCGCGCCTTGGCCTTGAAGAGATCCAAGATGAACTGGGCCAGCTCATCGTTCTCGAGCTCGGACTCTAAGAGTCGAAGCCTCAGGGCGAAACTTTGGGCCCCTTGAAGGGCTCTATCAGGGTTCTGTAACAAGGGTGGTCTTCCTCTAATGGGTTGGAAGTGCTTTCACGGTCCTTGATCTAGCAGCCTTGCTCTTGAGCTTGCAATCGCTTCGAAAGGCAATGCGACACTGACTTGTAATCTGCGCCGCGTCACAAAGGTGGGGATCCGGTTTTCAGGGGTCCTTGTCTGTTGAGGTTTTGCGGGGCGGTCCGTAGTTTTGGAAAACTCGCGTCTTTCATCGTGGTTTGTTTGATCACCGCCTCAAAAGCCCAAGCCTGAAATGCGGCTGTCACGAGGAGGATCCCTGGCTGATCGCAGACCAGGGAGGGTTGTACAGGATTTCATAGGCCTACCAGGACCCTCCTTTTACCCTCGAATAGGGGTATATGGTCCCAAATAGTGGGCATTTAGGGTCTAATAGAGGGTAGATGGAGGGTCTAGGTATGTACAGTTTCGGGCTTACTGCTGTCATGGGTTCAAAGTATACCTGAAGGTTCTCGGGACTGTGCAATCGCGATTGTGCTTCTTAGACTGCCCATGCCCTCTGAATGCCAAGCATGCCCACTAATCCCTGCCCCCAAATATTAGATCCCCCCACCCAGTATTATAACCTCCGTACTACATCGACAGGACCAGGACTTTAGGGTTCAGGGGTTTAGGGGGGCCAGGCATGGACTGTTGTGACGGAGGGTTGGAGACAGCTTGTGGTCAGGCTGCACCACTCCATGGGTCTCGTGCATAGGTTCGGAATTCGGGGTAGTCAAGGAACCAGCAGGTCGTGGAAGGTTGCGGAGTTGGAGGATCTTCGGAAAATAGACGGTTGTTGGACATTTTTGGACGAGGAGTTGACGACGGAGTACGGGCAGCTCTTGGCGAGCATGCGGCAGACCTTCAATTCGGGGAGATCAGGTCACTAAGTTGTGAAGGTGACTGTGTGCGGTTTACTAAATTCTGGATTTGGGGGGTTGTTAAAATTATGGCCCCTTTTTGGCTCCTTGTCATAATACGGCACCTGATATTTAGGGTATCCAAAACGGGACCCTAATTTCGACAACCACCACTGTAGGAGCCTCAATAATTAGAATAGGGTTCCTTTAAAGGGGTCTATGAGGGTTACTATAAGGGACCTATAAGGGTACTATAGTGTAGGGGCCTTAATAGAATAGGGTTTTAGGGCTTAGGGCTTCGGGCTAAGGCTCAGGGTTTAGTTTGGGCTTTCAGGGAGTACTAAACCGAAGAGAAACGAATGTTGTGGCCTGTGAAGATAAGCCACAACAGTCCCCTCTCAAACCGAAAGGACCAGGACTTCAGGGTTTAGGGTTTTAGAGCTTAAGGTTTGGGGTGTAGGGCTTTAGGGATCTTCAAGGTCTATCCAGGGCTTTAATTATAGTTATGATTATCTCTCTTTGAAAGATTCTAGCCATCTCTGTCATTACTTACGTAAGTACCTCCTATCCGACCCACACCCGGATGCCCAAAATCCACCCGCCCCCCCAGGGAGGGGTAGGCCTGATATTAGAGGGAAGGGATTGTGCTTCGAGTGCTCACAAGGCCCATGAACCCACGAGACACCTGTCCGCTGCAAGCCGACTTCTACAGATTTCACAGCAAAAAACATGCCTCTAATCGCTACACTGTAAGGAACGAACAGCCCTCGCATAAGCATGGGATCGCATGTGTTATACGATAAGCCCTATATGGTTTTTTTCTGAAAAGGCCCCAGTCTGTGGCTAAGCTCTCTGCGACGCCATCTTTTGAAGCAAGTCGAACGCGAAGGGCACAAATTCTCTGTAGGAGACATTCCCGTCCTGGTCCTGTCATAGGAGACAAACGAAAGGCAGAGCCGAAGCACAAGTTGTTGCCGGTAATGTTCCTCGGAGGAGACAGGTTTCCACAGTTTCTGCACACGTGCAGTTGTGTATTGTGTTCCACCCTAGCGGACTCCGTGCTCCGGGAAACAAAGATACATGATGGTCATGATGGTGGTGATAATAGGCAAGTGATAAAGGTCACGGCGATGGTCATGATGGTGTTGATGGTGAAGTGATGATGGCGATGTTGACGATGATGCCGTTAATGGAGATGGTGATACGTGCACCCTTGCCCAGAGTCCGCACGGAGCCCGAACCATTCCTGCCTGATCCACCTGGAACATGATGGCATTGATCTCCCGCCGGGTCAGCCTAGACAGTCTGGCAAACGTTAAAAGGGGGGATGAATGGGCTCTATCCGAGGGACGAGGCTATGTTCCATTCATCGGCGGAGGACGCTAAATTTTTTCACAGATTCCACCCAGCAAGGCCGCGCACGAGATCAAGCCCGTGCCTGGGTTAAGCGGGAACCGCTTCGAATTACAAAACAGGCTTGCAAGAAGGGTTATACAGTGCCGGGCCTGTTCTACTGTAGAAGCTTTTGCAGAGGCAGTTCTAAATGATAGTGTTAGCAAGCAGCAAAGCACCATTCATGGCATCTGCACAGCGAACAAGAACACTGGACAAGCCTGGCACCTCGCGACGAGTACAACACCAGATGGTGATCACAAGAGTTACCTTGAAAAAATAACTCAATTCGCAATCCCTCATACCGAGTAACTAACCAAGAACAGTCACCCCCATGATGCTGGAAGACGACCGTTCTTACTGCTGTAATTTGTATGCTCCGAATGTGAACCGACTGGTTTGGGCTCCAGGCCCAAGTTCCATGGAGGTTAATGCCGTCACGAATTCCTGGCAGCGTTAGCGGTTGTAGACTGTACCCTGACTGCTCGACCTCCTTTACAGTGCGGGATCTCATTGTGCCGACGCCGCAGCTCCTTTGCATTTTGGTGAGGTCAGGCCAACCCGAAAACCCACAGCATGATCTAGGCCATGATACTGCACAAGAGAAAATCTAATCAGTAACATTGTCTCCTAGGCTATGGATTGGCAACGGCTGATCTGTGCATATTACAATCAGGTCGTGTCCCCTTCGTTGCCTCGGATGGCCTGCAAACCCGGTGACAGGAACACTACTCCGGGCTGCGATTTGCCCACGGCTGCAAAGCCAAGGGAGGACTGAAGGTGGTGGTCGTTGTAGCAGTAAAAGCGGCAGCAGCAGCAGACATAGGACTGGTAGCTTCGGGAGGCGGAATGGCAGCGGAGAACAGGCCTGCTTGTTCAGCTGCCCACTGCGGTCCTGCGTTTTGAACTGCGCCAGGCTTTGCACCAAGTCTTGCGTGGTTACAGCAGGGCTTGAAGGAAGGCACAAAGCCTCCTTGACCAAAGGAACTGACAGGAAGCAGCTTGTGACGCAGATCAAGCCATGCCTCGTCCATGCGCTCAAACATGCTTCCCACCAGGCTGGTCAACTCCTCGCAAGGATCGAGTGGATCAGGGTTTGGGGTCCAGGATTCACAGTTCAGGGGCTTGAACTTAGGGCTTCAGACCTTGCGGCCGTTTAGGGTTCCGTTTGCGCTGCATCCTTCAAACCTATACAGATGTCGTGTCGATGTGCATACCCTATAAGCAACACTAAGACCTACCTGTCGGATTGAGGGATCCACTATACTACGCATCCCGAACAGGCAATAGAAGGCGGAACCGAGCATTGAGAGAGAGGTGGTGCAGGTTGATCATGTCGAAGGATGCAGGATACAACGTGAGGCAAAGGACTGAAATGCCAGACATTTCCACGTTGCCATCGCTGAGATCTTTTTCGTAGTCTCAAGGATTAAGGCTACGGCTGTTCTGGTCAAAGGACCATCACAGCGAAGAAGCCCCACTTTTAAACGAGCCTCCCGGGACATTCCATGGACGAGGAGCTCTTCCGCTTGGAGGTCCACATCGGACTCGGCAGTGGTCATATCATTAAACCATAAAGCAAAAGCTCCAAAACCTAACTCGTCTCCCCAAAAGCCTTTTGTGTAATATGCCTCCGAATCATAGTCAAGAATACTTAGTCCTGCCTTGTCTGCTAAAGGTCCCGAATGTCTCCTGACCTTGTCTCCCACCGGACCCACACGGGTGGAAATAGTGGAAGTGCGAATCGTACATAAGTTGTTTGGTTGCGGAATAGTCTCCGAATCGAAACACCGTAGGTCAATGGTCATGCCAGACAAACTGATCGAAGACGCAAGCAAGACTAAAACCAGGCAGGCACGCTGGATTGGACAGCTGAGCCTACTGATGGAATGGCAGATGTTGGCAATACTTCACGGGGATAGTCGGGCGAACGGCCAGAAAAAAAACCTTCATATTGAAGAGCACGACTCGCTCCAGGCTTGAATGGTGGAATCATGTATGAATCTATGCATGTATTGTACATACGTAGTTACACATATACCTACTTACCTACATGCATGCATACACTCTTTCACTCTCCTACCTCCTTCTGTCTCCTTGCATGTACGAGCGTGTTTCTGTAGCGCTCGCGATGCATGCAGAGGCGGACGCCGAGATCTGCATACCCTGATATGACCATTCACATACAGTGACAAACACAGGAGCACGGACCTGGATGTTGGAATCGGTAGACACGGAAACAAACAGAATCGCGCGAGCAGACAGATCAGGTTGAAACATCTGAGGTAAACTTCTGTGCACATGCACATCTGCGCCGCCCTTCGTGTAAGCCGACTTGTAAATAAAAGAGCAGTGCAGGCGCAGGTAACATTGCTTTACACCTCGAAAGATACCGTAACCTGACCTCGAGTAGCACCGCATAACACAACATCACCGTATATTTAAAACACATACGTGCATGCATGAGCAGATGTATGCACACATACCATCAAACACACATCCTGGAAACGGGCACACAGACAGACAGACAAAGAGACAGACAGACATGCATAGCATAACATAGCATGACATAACATAACGTACTGTACATGGGCTGCATGAGTAGACAAGCTCGCATACGTATTTGACGCATACCTCGATAGTTGAAATATGTAGCATGCATGTATGCTGCATGAAGGCAGGCCAGTGCATGGTTGCAGGATGGATGGATGTCCAGTATGTATGCACGTATCTGCACATGTGCCGCATGTACGTACATTATTTCCGTCGTCTGTATGGGTGTCGGCATGCATGTACTTACATACATAAGCATGTAAGCCCGTGTCTGTATCAAAGTACATCTGCATACATATCCACCTCTATCCATCTGTCTGTCTATCGACCCGCCTGTCTATCTATCTGTTTACCTGCCTATCTGCCACTGTTCCTCCAGCATGTATTGAGATGCACTGTATGACATTGCACGCATGTACGTCTGCATTCGTATGAATGTACGTATGTAGGTATATAGGTGAGTGGGCATCTAGGTAGGTATATAGATATGTTTGTATGTATGTATGTATGTATGTATGTACATGTGCAACATGTTAACAAACATATATTCATATTCATATATATATATATATATATAGATATGGATATGGCATACTCACATGATATGCACATGTCAGTTTGCGGCAACCAATCGCATGTCTACTGGAAACCATGCATGCATTCACCCCCCAAAGGTTGAGCGTCTTGCGATGTGCTGCTCGAGTCGCTTCTTGGCATACCTGGTGCACACAAGATAGCCGCAAAGATCCGTGAAGCATTTGTAGAGCTGCAGCTGCCGACCGCCATGATCGAAGTGCAGACACATTTCGTTTCTTGGTATCACTGCACGAACACATTCTCTCTCTCTCTCTCTCTCTCTCTCTCTCTCTCACACACACACACCGACACCGAGCGTGCGCGCGTCCCTACCTACATACTTGCAGAGAGACAGACAAACCTGGACACATCAAGGAGACTGGCCAGGCTCACATGCCCTGGATGATCTGCAAGGCCAACGGGATAAACTCCTGCAGCGTGTCTTGTTTGGTCTTCGACTGACTCTCCGACGGGGCAGAGGTTTGAGTCCTCGTACTCGATCATTCCGTCGGCATTCATGTCCGCCTGCACGTGCAGTGGCCAGGGTTCGCACAGAGGCCTGGCACCCAAACCCTCACCTCAAAAACCCTGCATCCTAAACCCTGCCCCCACCTTCATGTTGGGGCCTTAAAAATTAGAATAGGGTTTTTGGGTACATTATACTGTAACAATATTAAGGAACCACCGACCTAAGTTTTCCCTTGCGGTTTGAAAGCCTCAGCCAAGAACAGGAGGATCTCGTCCTTCGGGAAATCCAGCCGCTGCCTCGTAGGGGAGAAGCATAAAGCCGAGGCCCCGAGTGGACCAGGGTTTCGGGGGTAGGGTTTGAGGGCTTTGGGTTTGAGGGTTGAGGGTTTAAGGGTTTAGGGTTTAAGGGTTTAAGGGATCAGGGTAGAGGTTTTCGGGCCGGTGTCGTCTGAAAAACACTTGAACTCGAGGCCCAAACCCGCCGCCACGCATGAATCCCGGGAGCGCCTATCCCTCAACCTTCACCGGGAAGCAGCCTATTTTTCAGGCCGTGTTGTCAGGCAAAGCTTTCTCCATGTTGTACCACCGGATCTTCTCATGGTGGCAAGGGATTCGCTTAGCTTCGCAAGCGCATGGTGGAAAACTTGACGAGTATGTCGTGGTAACCTTGAACCCCGACTTTGAGTAGCATCTTTGAGCCCCTTTGTTGGTTTCGAGGACCGAGAGTCCCACTTTCGAGATTGATGCTCCCAAGTTCTGAGCTCGCTTTTCGGCCGCTTTGAGTAGCAGACCGCCTAGTCCCCGTTCTTGATGGGGGCGGTCCACCTTCACTTGGCCGATCTTCAACGTCTCGTCCGTGAAAGATGCATACACATAACCAGCGAGTGTGCGAGTCTGTTGCGACACTGCTGCCAGCGTGAAGGCACGAGGCCGTGATCCCTGCGCCAACTCGTCGATGGTTTTCTCATGTGCTTTTTCGTCGCCCATGCTCACGCTCACGAGCGCGGCAGAATTCTCAGGAGTCAAGTTGCTGTACCAGGTCTCCTGCTGATGGAGATGTGCGTGATCTCCAACAAACTCCCGTTCCGAGCGGCGGAGACGCTTCGAACACCCTGTCACTGATGAGCACACGTAGTACCTTAGTTGTCCGCTTAGAAGAAGATTTCCAAAAACATGCGCACACACAAACACCCCAAGTTCTTGTTGTTGTTGTTGGTGGTGGTGGTGGTAGTAGTGGTGGTGGCGGCGGTGGCGGCGGCGGTGGCGGCGTTGGTGATGTTGGTGTTGCCGTTGCTATGGCTGTTGCTGATGCTGTTGTTGTTGTTGCTGTTGCTATTACTGTTCTTGTTCTTGTTATCGTCGTTGTTCTGGTTATTGTTCGCGTTGCTGTTTCTGTTGCTGTTGCTGCCGTTAGTAGTGGTGGTGATGATGGTGTCGTCGTGTTGCTTGCTTTTGTTTGTTGTCGTTGCTGTGGTTGTCGCTGTTGTTGCTGCTGTTGGTGTCTTTTGTTGATTGTGTTTTTTTGTTGTTGGTGGTGTTCTCCTTATTCTTCCTGTTCTTGCGATCTTGCTATTGTACTTGTTTTCACCATAAGCACTGCAATCCACTCGCACAACTTTGTTTTAAACATGCCTTCCAGCATGAAGAAGTTTGCAGCGTTGGAGCAAAAAACACGAAGTGATCGCATCAGCGAGTGCACAACCGTGGATCGCGAGGGCAAAGGACCAATATCCCCGACTTGGACTCGATGCAAGCACACAAGAGAAACACGAAAGGCCCATCCGGATGGAGGGCAACGTGTTGCCCAAGCCACAGGCGACCCGGCAGTGGCCTTGGGACCGGGGTGGAAGTGGGCGGGAAAAAGATCGAGCAGGAGGCTGAAGCCGACACTGCAGACACGAAGATCAAGCGAGGGAGCATGATTTGGTGAATACGAGTGCACCGATGCCTGCCAATCCTAAACACATCGACATTGTTCTTGTGATCTTGTTCTTGCGGGTTCGCGCAGCGGTTAATTTGACATCCGCACTAACTTGTGAACTGAGATACTGTGAATTCTCCACGAGCACGTTGTCCTCCTTCTTTTCAATCAGTGGCTCAGTCTCCTCCTGGGCCCCGGCCCATTCCCACTGGGCAAAACGGCTACGTGTTGCCGCGCCCGGACACGCGCAAGTCGGTGTCGGCGACACCCAGGGCCTCTTCCGGCTGGGGGCCTTGTGCCCCAAGGCCTTCAGCATGGCCTGAGGCGTTCGTCCTGCAGACGAGTGGATCAGAACGGAAGCTGACCGTTCGATCAGGTAATCGACCACGTCCATGTGATTCTTTTCGATGGCAAAGAAGAGTGCAGATTTTCTGGCGAAATCCCGGTAGTTCACTTCAAACCCCAGATTAAGCAAGAATTTCACTATGACCAAATTGCCGCGCGCTGCAGCGTAAAATAAAGGCGTCTGGCCATGTACGTCAACTTCCTCTAGACTAACACCCATCTCGATGCACTGCCTTGCTAATAATTCGGATCCCCGGCGGCGCCGTGCCGCAATAAAGAACAGAAAGTTCTGCTGCAGAGCTGTATGCCGCCAAGCCATATCTGCCTGCGCTAGGGCCTTCTTGGCATCAACATAGTCTCCATCTCTCACAATATGGAACAGCTCATCTCGGCTCACATTGGGATCTTCGGGTTCATCCGCCATGGCGGCGAAACGCACCACTTGGTTCACGCTGGGCCAATTTTGAGCCCGAGCATCTTGCGAAGAAGACCGGTTGAGGGTTTGAGGCTTTCGGAATTTCGGGGCCCTGCGTTAGTCATTGATTGGTTTAGGGTACGCAGTGCTGCGGGATGCTGCGACTTTCAAGGGATAGGCGATTTTCGAGGGACGAGCTACTCCAATCCTGTTGTCCTCCTGGGAGGTTCAGCAACTAGGGAACCCCACTAAAGCCGTATTAGTATTGGGATACTCAGTAGGAGCCTCAACCCTAAACTCTAAACCCCTAAACCCGAAACCCCTAAACCCTAAACCCCTAAACCCTAAACCCCTACGCCCTAAACCCCTAAACCCTAAACCAGGCAGTAGTGTTGTCCAAGTCGTCGGCTGTAGGTCTTCCATCAGAGACTTGAACTCTGCAGGGTCCAGGAATTGGCTTCCATCCTGCCAGGACCCTCCTTTTACCCTCGAATAGGGGTATATGGTCCCAAATAGTGGGCATTTAGGGTCTAATAGAGGGTAGATGGAGGGGCCAGCAGACTAGGTGGGGCTTTTAAGGCTTTTGAAAAATATTAGTAGATAAGATCCTCTTAAGCCCAATAAGGGAAAATATAAAATGTCCCAAAGCCCCACCTAGCAGAATTCAAAGGATCTTCAGGTTCGGGACTCTTCGGCAAGTAGTGCTGTTCATTCCCAAGTGGTCATTATAGATTATGGTACTGCCATGGTGTTATGCCATACTTCGGCTTTGCGTTAATTTGGGACTCATTCTATGCCTGCCTCACAATGTCGCTGCTCTTCGTCGCCCTGAGCTTAGGATGCCTTGTCGTACTTCTTGAAGAGGTCATGGATGATTCCCTCGACCTCATCGAGTGACCTGTTTAAGTTTAGGATTTAGAGTGTTTTTTCCATGACCGCACCGGAACCGCAAAGCATTACAAGGTGGTCTCGGGTCATGTATGACGACCCTTGAGCCCGAGCATCCTACAACTCCTACAACGAAATTGGGAGGTTGAGGCTAATTTCCGCACACGCACTACAACCAACAAACATACGTTCGTACATACATATCTGACTGTGGCCCTGGCATGTCTAGCTCTTCTGCGGCAGTTGCCTCGGGCTTCACAGACAAGGGCAAGGCTGGCTCTGATGCACCGATTCGATCGAGTGTACAGTAGCTGCATGAGATAATCCCGCAGCTGCGAGTGTTGCCTGCCCGGCATCAGCTGGAAGGCCGCTCGCCAAGCATTCGAAATACCTGCTGGCAGTTGCTGCTCGCACCGAGTACATCACTGTCTATGGCTGCGAGCTCCGGCTAGGGCTGTGCCATCACCGGCTAGATACCCTAACCCGCAAAGCCTTAAACTCCAACAGTGCGTACATTCACGACGGATATGACGGGCACTTGGCAGCAAATTCATGGATGTTCTCCGGTTGGGAGCGGAGAACTTCTCGGGTGAAGTCCTGGTTAAGGGCGTGGGGAAGAGATGGGATCTGTCTGGAGACCTGTCTTCATGGTTCCGTCTGGAACACATCTGGACGCTAAGAAACCTACCTTCTTGAGTGTTGATATAAGAAAAACGAAATACGGAACCCTAAAAAGGTAGGTTGCTTGGGGTCCAGGTAAGGCTGATGTTTGGTCCAAATCCGTTTTCCTACTTGTAGCTTCCTCCCAGAAACACTCACTTCTGCGCCGCTTTCTCGACACTTCTGCGCTCTGCTGCGCGCGAGGAAAATCGAAAAAACGAGAACACCTCAACATAACTCGGGCACAGGTATCTATTGAAGCTGTAGAAAAACCATATTATACCAAGCAATACACAGCTCTAGAATGCTTGAGAAGCGCCCTTCCATCCGATTTCGAGAGCTATACAGACCCAAAGGCATGTGCTCAAGCCAGTAAAATCTGGCAACACAGGTTTGGGAGGCTTCTGTAAGCAGGCGATACAGCTCTGGACGAGGCGGGACTACGGCCCCAGAAGAATCTTGCAGCCATAAACCCTAAACCTTAAACCCTAAACCCAAGATGGGCCACTGTCCTGCGAGGATCAAGCTCAAGCTACCATGGGGCTTCTATAGTTTTTGCTATAGGGGCCTTAATTTTCAGAATAATGTTTTGGATGGGAATTATGCTATAATTAAATAAGGAGCCCGCAAAGTAGTATTGGTATATACACTTCGAGTGCAAGGGTGCGATCTCCCACGGTCCTTGAGAATGTCAGGAAACTCAGGTGGTACCTGTCAGGGACTTTCCAAGCAGAGTCTCGGAGCCATCAGACACCACGGATCTCTGTCGATACTGAGGCTCCTTCCTGGTACTGTTTCGCGAACTTGCTGGACCTGGGTGCGCGAAGCTGCTTGAGGACGTAGCTGTTCGGTCGCCCAGAGTCGTGGCTGAATACAGGGCCTTAATAATTAGACTAGGGTTTTGAGGCCAATTGTGCCGGAACTGCAATAAGGAGCCCCAACATAGTACAGGTCATTATGTAGGACCCTACATTACACTGATGGTATGATGCGTATTACACTGATGGTATGATGCGTTGAGCCCGAAGGCTACTCATCAGACATCATGTGCAGATTTCAGAGCCTCGCTTGAAAGGGTGTGGCCATCCACATTCCCCTATGAAGGCCCGAAGCTAGCAGCAGTATGGTAACCTTATAGTAACTTTATGGTACGCTTACAGTAACCTTACGGTAACCCTAAGGTTAGTTGAATTGAACCCACAACCCAGAGCGTTTGTAACATCCTGCGCTCAGGCTGCGGCATGGCTGCTGGCCCCACAGGTTCGTGGAGGCCTATCCCAGCTCTACAGTACACTGAGCCCGGCGGCCATGGGCAAAGGACCATGAAAGAGTGGAGCCTCGAGTCTAAGTCCAAGCCTCTTGGTTGTTGAGGTCTAGGGCCTAGGAACCCTAAACCCTAAAACCCTAAACCCTAAAACCCTAAACCCTACAACCCTTAAGCCCAAAATCCTAGACCGAGTCTAGGGTTGAGTTCGATCGACAGCAGGTCAGAAAGTGAAGACTCTTGTTTTTCACACCTTAGGCGTGCAGAAAGGTCCTCCCGCTTCGCGGGCCCAAGAACCGGTGCAGCAACGAGCTCTGCCTTAGGTACTGCCCCCTTACAGTAAGAGTCTATAATAGGGCGAATATTAAGGACCTAGTATATCTATATTATGAATAGTATTCAGCTACTACTGAGTGGGGGCCGTACCCTAGCTCTGCCACAGTTAGCCAGCTTACCCCAGAAGACTCGCTGCCGAATAACTTACGTATCTCATCACTTTGTGAGCTGAATGCAGTGATGCTGAACTCGTCAGCATCCAGCATAGTATACATGGCCATCGATACAATCCAAGCACATGACATGCGCAGTGCCCTCAGTCCCTTTCCAAAGCAGAGAGGCGCGGAATCGAACCTCCTCGAAGCCTGAAGCACAGGGCGATGCTAGTGGGGCAAAGCAGGATCCGAGCAGGCCACTCTGTGAAGCAAGCACGACCGTAGCGCTTCCTTGAGGCCCACACATCACCACAATCACAAATGACTCGACTGCCTGGCTCACTGGCTGGGTGGTCGATAACTCGCAAGGCTCTTATAGTCCTCAGTATCCCCCAGCTAACTCGCAACGATGGAATTTCAGAGCTGAGTCCCTAAGCTCGAAGATGCTAGCCGCTGCCAGTAGCCGAGCTGCTTGAAGACCCGGCCGTAGTCGTAGGCTTGCTCAATCAAAAGGGGCTTCGAATGCACCTTATAGCGGGCGTAAGACGGCAAGAGCTCCAATCAGGACGAGCGCAACATGGCCCTGGGCCTTGTGATACATTCTGAGCACCTCCTCCTTCGACTCTTTGGCTCTTCGATCCTTCACAATGCTTTACGCTTGAAGGGTCTGTGGCAACCCTGCGCAGCCCGGACTCGGAGACAGCCTGCGCCTTTCTTTTGCATCAAACAGAAATGCTTGCGGGATTGCTGCCTGTTCGCTGCACCTCGCGGGCAAGGATGTGGCTGGAACTTCGAGCGACGGGCCCTCCATTCCACAAAGGTCAAGCCTGAAACCCTTGCCTCTAACCCAACCGCCTTCGCTGTGAAGGGGAATGCCGTAGAAGCAACCCTTCAACCCCGACAACCTGTAACCCATCCAGACCGATACATGCCCGAAACATCCCAAAACCTCTACCAAATGAGTCACTGAGTAACCATCAATGACATGCACTCCTCTAAAGCCCAGAAGCTCCCTTCTAATTTACCTCAAGTCCATGGCCTGTCTTTGCAAGGCCTCGCGCATCAGCAAGGCACCATTGCGGCCGGCTATGGCGGCTACCTCCACAGGTCACAGGGCTCCTCCTTTTGGGCCTTCTTAATCTTAAGGTTCAGGGTTCTTCAGGTTCAGGTTTCATAAGGCTCTCTGACTAAACCTCGTTCTGGCTTCAGAAAAGTGAATGCATTTGTTAGAATCAGGATCCTGGATACTCTTCATGGTCGTCGATGCTGACGTCACCTTCCTGAAGCTTTCTGGGGAGGCCGGAGGATTTACCAAGTGCCCCCAACTACCTTCTGCACAATAAGTGCATAATCCCCAAAGCCTCTAACCCTAATCCCAAACCCCTATAACCCCAATCCCGACACCCTAACTCCTACCTGTAGCCGGAAAGACCTACCTTTTTAGGGTTCCTTCTTCTGGTTTCTGTATACAGTTCCTTAAAAAAGGTAGGTCTTTTCGGCTACAGGTAAATCCTAGGCGTTCCTCTGCATCTGCCTTGGGGGATTCAAAAAGTAGATCCCTTCATGGGGGTTCCTTTAAGGGTCCCTTTAAAGGATCTGTAGGGATTTAGGGTTTATAGGGTTTATAGGGTGGATCCCTTAATGGGGGTTCCTATCAAGTACCCGGTAAGTACCCTTACTAGTACAGGGCCCCAAATTACCCAGAGGCCCCAAAGTAGCTCCTTTTTGGGATTACTTAATAGGATTCTAAATATGAACCCCCAAAACGAACTACTTTAGGGCCTTAGGGTAAGGAGCCTGTCTTCCCTTTAAGATAGTACCCGAAATAGTAGGATCCTTATTATAAGGACCCCAGAATAAGGTACCCCTAGTTTTCGGAAACTCCCAAATTAGGGGATCTACTTTCTGGATTTTCTGGGCCTCCATGGCCGAAGCTCCCGTCTCCAGCCCGGAGGTGTAGAAGAGAGCGTGGCCGTCCAGCCTGCAAAGCTCTTACGGCTTAGGGCTTTTAGGGTTTAGGGTTGTAGGGTTTTTTTTGTTTTTTTTTTGAACCCTCGTGTCTTTTAACCGAAGCCTCCAGACTACCGTAGGGTTTAGGGTTTAGGGCTTTAGGGTTTGGGGGTTTTAGGGTTTGCGGTGTAGGGTTTAGCACGTTAAGACCGGGAGCTTGCGCACGGTCACCAGCGTCGACACAATCGAAAAGGCGACAACGCAATCGCCGTAAACTTTGCAGCAACAGCATGAATCGCAGCAGTGTAACCAGAATGTCGGCGCACCATGGTGAGGAATGCTGCTTGAACTGATCCACTTCCTATGCTGATGCTATGATTCGCGTTTGGGAATCAAGAACAACCACAAGGAGCCAAAGAAAAAAACACCCTCAAACCTCAAGTGCCTAAGTCCGACTCCCTAGAAATCCCACTCAAGCAACGTAACTCGTCAATTGCTGAACCGCGCGTGGCCTGAAGCTCGCCCAGTTCTCACGGGCCAGCGGCTGGAGCTTGGGATAGGCTGCCCAGACGTATTTGAAGGTCTCGAAGACCTGGGACTTCGTAATAGGCCTTAATAATTAGAATAGGGTTTGGGGAGATATATTATACCATCATTTAATTTAGTAAGGCACCCCCCAAAACGGTACTTATTAAGGCCCGTCTAGTCTTCAAAAGGACTGAAGTTGACTGAATGCAACGGACCTGCGTGTTACAATCTTCATTCTTCTTCTCCTTGACTGATCCGAGTGAATACTTCAAGAACACAAACCGTGCTGCTGAGGCGGCTACCGCCACTGCTACCACTTATGAACCTCCATTCGACCAAAGGCAACAGAGCTTGTGGTGGAGGAAAGTTTCTGATGGAACATAAGGAGACCGGCTGCCACAACAGCAATGGCCCCTGCATTCCGAAATATTCCGAAGAATCGCAATCACCGCCCTGTGGTGGACTTGGACCCGTGCTCTGGGAAACAAAGGCTTGATGTCTGCGTCGTGCAGGTCGCGTCGCGAAAACAGCTTCACCTGGGAGCATGCCGTCACTCAGCACCTCTCAGCACAACCTGTTCCCCTCCCAGGAATGACTCAGCACTCTTTACAGGCCACTGCGAGGCTTGAGTTGATGCTCTTGCGCTACCCTCCCAGCAGTGTTCTACAAGGTGATAGCAGATAGCCAAGGCCCCCCGCAACCATGGAGCCATCAGGAAAGACCTTGTGCACCTGAGACGAAAGGTGGATCGGGATTCGCGCCGAGCAAGTAACGATTGTCGAATTGAACCCCTACCTCATACCCTGCCACAGAAATACGGATAATAATACAAATCCTAGCTTCAGACTGCAAAAATTTCGAGAAAGGAACCGGTAATCAGGCTATACATGCAGGCAGCAGGAGCCACCCATCGCAAAAATCCACTTAGCTAGGAAAAGCTCCACCGACTCAGCCCTACTCTTAGGAATAAACCAACCTCTTCCACACCATCTCAACTCTGAGCCCTGAATCCTAAACTCCTACAACTTCTGTGTGGTTCTTAGCAGGGATGGGGGAATGGATCCATCGATCCGTATAGTAGTCCCTAGAGAATCCCTTATAGTCGTCCCCATAACCCCTTCCACCATTCCCTACTAAGAAACGGACCCGACTTTCCTGAGCTCCCAGCCCCGAAGGATGAGAAGGGGGATGAGCTGTCCTGGGAGTTGGGATTAGGGGGACCCTCGGGGATATAGACCCTCTCAATAAGGTCCCTTTGAAGAGAGCCAGAAGTAGGGTTCGCAAGGGGTACCCTTTAAGGAGTCTCCCTCATCATGCTACCCATGTCCTCTGTGGTGAGGATGGTGCCCGGGACCTCCTTGGCCTCGGCCCCGTTGGGCCCGAAATACGTCTCCTGGGCGGCTCTTGCAGGCCCCTTAGCACCGTAATTATATTGTGCTATGATCAGACGACAATAATATTGTAGTCTGATATAGCACAATATAATTACTAATATACTTGCAACTATAACGATGATTGTAGTATAATATATAGTCATGGTTGGGGTTTTGGGGCCTTCAGGGTTGCAGCAAGATCGGAGGAATGCACTAGAGTAGTGCTTGAAAGAGCGGCCAAGTCTCATTGATCTCGCCATGGATGAAGGTCACGTAAGTCCTCTGATACCTGGGCAGCTGGGAGCAAACGGGCCAGGAGTGATGTCTCATAGAAATCCGAATTAGCCACCACTTTGTCCACCACCACCACCACCACCGCCACCACCGGCGGCGGCGGCCCCACCACCACCACCACCACCACCACCACCACCACCACCACCACCACCACCACCACCACCACCACCACCACCACCACCACCACCACCACCACCACCACCACCACCACCACCACCACCACACCACCACCACCAACCACCACACCAACACCACCACCACCACCCACCACCACCACCACCACCACCACCACCACCACCACCACCACCACCACCACCACCACCACCACCACCACCACCACCACCCCCACCACCACCACCACCACCACCACCACCACCACCACCACCACCACCACCACCACCACCACCACCACCACCACCACCACCACCACCACCCACAACAACAGCAACCACTACAACAACAACAGCAAGAGCAAGAGCAAGAGCAGGAGCAAGAGCAAGAGCAAGAGCAAGAGCAACAACAACAGCAGCAGCAGCGGCCAACTTGTAGGAAGTAAGTGTGCGCACAAACAAAATCGAAAAGCTGTGAGCCACGGAAAGGACAGCACCCGGTGCTTATGTAGGGAAGTAAGGGTTGGGGGACAGGTGATCTCGTAAGACCTGTACAGACCATACCCCTGATTCAGACATGATTTCCCTGTTGCGTCCATGGTGCTTCCTTCCCCTACCTGTGCCATGCTTGGCCTCTGCTGGCAGTTGGATGGCTGTTAGCTCCATGGGCGTCGCCAAGATGACGCCGTCAAACTGCTCGGACCGCTGGGTAGTCTGCACCATGTAACCTCGGACGGGATTTAGGGTTTAGGGATTTAGGGATAAGGTCCTTAGGGCTATAGGGCTGAGGGACCGCACTTTCCGCTGACAATGAGTAATTGCCCCATCCCCAAAACCTAGGGCCGTCATGAAAGACAGGTTACATGCTGCTAATGTAGGGGCCTTATTTGGGGTATATTACAGTAACTATAGTCAGGTGCCCCCATGCCCCAGTTTAACTATTATGGCCCCTACAGTAGTTCAGCAGAAAACCTTCCCAGTCACCACACGGGCCTCTGCCCTGTCCCCTGCAGACATCTCGATCATAAGAGCAAGCGTCATGGGTAGTAGCAGTAGCAGTCGTCGGTAGTAGTCAGCAGTATGTATTTTGCAAATTGTAAGCTGTAAGTGGTCAGCAGGTTTTAGTGCAGAACAACAAGCAAGTGGTACTAGTATGTGGATGTATGTAGTACGTAGTAAACAGTTAGTAGCAGTTGGTAGTGGGTAAGTGAAGCAGTCGGCAGTAATTAGCAAGTACATATACGGCTCAATTGGTAGTCAATAGCCAATAGTGAGTAGCAAGCGGTAAGAAGTAAGCAGCACTGAAGTGCGTAGTAAGTACTTGGTAGTGCAGGTATCGCAGTAGGTCAAAGTCGTACGTCGTCGCGTTTGCAGTGGTATTGGATCTAGTAGTGGTAGTGGTAGTGGTAGTGGTCGTGGTCGTGGTCGTGGGAGGGGCAGGAGGAGGAGCAGCGGCAGCAGTTACCATTGTCGTTGTGAAAGCTCCTGCCAGTATATGTTATATTCTCCTTGTCGCTGCTGCTACTAGAACTGTTGGGATGACGATTTTGTCTGGCTCTCAAAATCCGGACATTGTTTCATTAATGGAGCTCAGGGGCCAGTCCCATTCGAGGCCACCTTCACGACATGCTCTCCGAGATGGACCCGGGATGCCGATCTCAGAAGCCCGCGAGAAATGGCCTCGCAGTTGGGTTTCAGCCGAGACGGATGAAGTGATGGAGGTAGCGCAATGACATGGTACGGAAGAGAAGCAAGAAGGCGATGATGGTGATGATGATGATGATGATGATGATGAATTGAGCAGCAATTTCAAAATCACCCGGTAACCACGTGGTGCAGCCCAAAGCAGCTGACCCTGCAGTTTTGGATGGAGAGTTCTGTGCACGCAGGACATATCATCACCAGCTACAAGCGGCGGCGGCTGGCGACGGCTCATGTCAGAAAAGTTGAGACATGTTGGATGAGAGTCTAATATAGGGCCTTAGTAACTAGAATATTGCTGGGAAGGGGGGGGGGTATGTCCTAGTATTGTTATAATAATATTATAGTAAGATAAGGCCCCTGCATTACCTAAAGCTCCGTACTGATTCAGATTAAAGGTGATGGCACAAACCCATCTCACTGTAGGCTACTAGTACAGCAGGTGTCGCTGAGAGACGAAGCCGGCCTGAGTGCCATTGGCCAAGCCGAAGACATGGCCCCCAACACCCACACCGGCGAGCGAGATCAAGTCGGCGAAGCTGTTCATGCTGCCTTTGGCGAGGCCAAGAAACACAGACTGTGGACAACAGTGCTGGTGGAGATGCTGATAATGACGGCCGGGGTTGTGGTCGTCATGGCAGAACGTCAACCATTTTAGAACAGAGGCAATCTTGAACGGCACTGATTACGCCAGTCGCGCACTGATGTGATACGTTCATCGATGTTGCTGTTGATAACATTGCTGTTGCTTCGGTTGTTTCTGGGCGGTGTTGGTGGTTACTGTCGTGCTGCGTTCTGCTACCGCCGGTGCGGCTGGTGATCATCCTCGAACATGCACAGCGGGCAGAAGAATAACCGTGTTGAGACTGGAAGCGAGAGTTAAGCTGAAACTTAAGCAATGAGTAGCATGCCAAGAGGGAAAACATCTTATGAAGTTTGATCCACATACGTGACGTGATGGAATCAGCATTGGCACCATGACATGCTGATATTAGTTGCCCCGAGCTCAGAGTGTCATGTGACGACATCAAGCCTGCTAGCAGCTAGCGCACGCATGCACAAAGGTTGGGGAGCTGGTGCTGCCCGCATGAAGAGGCTAACTTGAGCAGGCAGAGGTTGTCCACAATCGGCAAACGGCTGCGGTTGCTGATGCAGCTCTACATGCACAACAGTCCCGGGCAACGCTGACTTGCCTGGCTGGTTGTAGTTGCACCGGGAAGCTCCGTCGACCATCTCCTTCACGAACTTCTCCTCTACACCTGAGCTTTCGTGAGTGGGTGCAATCCATGTCTCATGCTGACCTCGCACACGTGGGTAGTCACTGTTGGGTTAGACAACTATATATAGGCGCCTTAATGATTGGACTAGGGTTTTGGGGCAGCTCCGCTCGAGAATGTTCGCTGCCACATCTGCTAACGCTGGAGCTTCCTACCAACTTCAACTCTGTAGGCTGGGATCCGTCTGCGGTCAAGCCACCAAGACTCTTGAAGAAGTCATAAGCAGACGTCTGGGTTAGGTTGAACACGCCCAGGGCGTCCAGAAGCGCTGCCGGGGTCTCGAAGCTCTTCTGCCCCTCTTGCAGGTCGTAGATTTTGTCGAAACCATCCACCGCATTGCGAACCGCAGGAATCACGCGAAGAGGGGAGAACCCATATCCTGAAGCTCCGGCACGCGGGATCATGGGAAAAGCAGGTGCATGGTCGAGAGCTTGCTTGTTTGGGCTACTTTCATCCATTGAATCTATTCGTCTTGCCATAGCGTCCTCAAAGTTCTGAGGGGATCTCAGGTAATTCTGCATCAAGCCTACTGGGCCTGCTGTATCGGGAATTCTCCTGAAAAGCTCCCTACACGTCTGATACGGCCCTCCACCGCAGCTGGAAGGCTGCCAACTGCTGGTAACACAGGGGCCTTTATAATCAGAATAGGGTTTTGGGGCCCATGATATACTATGTTTAATAATTATAATAAGGAGCCCCCAAAATAGCATTGGTAAGTATTTAGGCCCCTATATTCGTCGCCCCTGTCACCCTGGTGTTGAGGCTTCTCTTCCTGCAAAGGATGTAGTATGTAGTTCCCTCGAATCTAGAACTGCAGTTATGAATCATGCACAATCGAGAGCGCAAATTTTCACGGCCCAGGCTCGGAATAGAAGCTTGGCACCCATGTCCAGGCGGCTGTCCGAGTCCACCTGCAGGGAGCTTCAAACCCAAGAGTGATTACAGCACATCCTCAGCCAAACATGATGTTTAATAATTTATCATGACAGTTTGGACGGAGATATGAACGGGTACTCCGCACACCGACAATGAACGCGAAATCCTAAACAATGGAAATGTAATGACTCCAAGAGCGTCCATCCGACGGGCCTGGACGCGAAACTTGCTGCCATCCCAGATGCCGATGTCCGAATTGACGCCGTCCTTGGATTGAATGGCATATATCCATAGCCCTAAATTATTACACTGGGGGTTGATTGCAATAACAAACGTTTACAGAAACCTTGATTAGACCAGAAACACAGGGCCGCATCTTATCACCATGCTGACTAAAGGTGCTTTCCGCTTGGGGCAAACCTTGGGCACAGGGCCGCTTGTGAATAGTTGACTGGAGTATGGTAGCTTCGTGGAATGGGGCACACCAGTAAGTGCTTCTGATCCTTGCATCCGCCTATTGCAAAGTGGAGCTGCAATCCAAACACAGGTAACTGTACTTCATAACTTAACATAACTTAACTTTCCCCCGGCACGAAAGAAGTGCTTACTCAACCCAGAGCACCTATCGAAAACAACACAGCCAACTCCGAAATAAAATCCTAAACCCTAAAATCCCTACGTACGCCTTACGGCCCCCCAAACACAAAATAAACACAAAAACCTAAACAAAAGACCCCTAAACTAAAACCCTACCCTCACCCCAAACCCTAAACACAAAACCCCAGAACCCTAAACTGTCTAAACTACAGCCCTTTCGGCCCAGAGGACGTCGCCGGCCTGCGGTTGCAGCCCGAAGTCTTTGGCGAAGCCTGGGCTTTGCCAGTGCCTTTTGAACACATTCTAGGGAAAATTCATTGGATTTCTTGTTGTTTTTTTGGTTGCTTTCGCCCGTTAGGTTGATCAGAATCCACAGTTTTGGAAGGCTGCGACCTCTCTCAAATTGGACTTGTGTAGGGTTTAGGGCCTGTTTAGGGTCTAGGACCGTTTAGGAGTTGCTTTCTTCTTGCGAGGGTGTCTAAATCTGGTTTTGAAGGCTTCTTATGAGGCTTGCGAGGTTGCTTCGGCGGCTCTTGCAGGGCATGATGCGGGGGGTGGAAAAGGCCCTGTGTGACTTTTAATTAATTATCCTTTATTTGGACTTTCTGCGCAGTCCCCTGGGCTCTGATCCTCCAGCCAAGTAAGTATCGTCATAACGCATGTTGGCATCAGCGCTGCGTGGAAGCTATACGGCGCTTCGCGCTTCTGTCTAAAGACGACTTTCTTGATGCGGCACGGCTGGATGCGTATATCGACTCCAGTCTGAGATTCCTCTAAGTCCGAATGCCTTTTTTCTAGACTGCCTTAGCTCATGAGGACTGCATCCGATTCAGCATCCGATTCATCCTGCATCACGGATGATGGCTGGTTCCTGGATGCCGCTTAGCAGCCGGAGACGTACCTGTTCCTGGAATAGATGGCTGTTCCTCCCACGTCCACAGTTACGTTGGCGAAGCTCCTCTCCAAGCACCAGTAGCTGAGGAGACGAGGCTGTGGTATAATGTAGCATAGTATATTACGGTATAGTATAGTATATTGTAGTATACTATTGTATATTATAGTATAGTATATTCTAGTATCGTATATTATTCTATATTATACTATAGTAGAGGCTAGTATGGAGTGACTCCAACATCGGCAGCCCAGAGTCTCAAGAAGGTTCCTTCAATTCCCAAGCCCCGGCATTGAACCTAACAAGACCTCCCCCCCCCCCCCGGCGGTACCTGGTTTTTGTTTTAAGTGCAATGGGGCCTTTTTCTGCAGGAGGTCCGGCCGGATTTCGGCCTACACTAGAACCTGGGGTTTGGGGTTTAGGGTTGCGTTACCCGGAAGTGCAAAGTTTCTTCAGTCAAGTGGGATGTGAAGCCTGCAGGATAATCCGAACTTCTATCAATCAACACATGACAGTAGATTATAGCATGTTATAGTATGTTATAGTATATTATAGTACAGTATATTCTACTCCATGGAGGTGCATCTGGGAACACGTATCTGGCTTCATCTTGCGGATTACGATCCGGCTTCATGCCGTGCTACGAGTGAGTATTGATTACTGGGCTATATGGGACTTTCCGAAAATAGGGGACCCTAATATAGCACCCCTAAATAGTAGGATACTTATTGTAAGCGCCCCAAAATATGGTACCCCTAATTTTCGGAAACTCCCATATACTGACGGCACTGAACCCTGTCCTTCCATAACATGCACAACATACCTCAATGCTCCAGTGTCACAGAACCTACTACTGTTGATGATATAAATCCTGCATTAGCTTAAGGACCCTAAACTATGGGAACAATGGTATATTCCTTATTATGGGTCTTATGGGTCATGCAGGATTTATATCATCAACCGTAGTACCTAGAATGCAGCCCTAACTTTAGACCCTACCCCGAAAAAGGTTTATGCGCGTACTGCGCCAAGCTTTGGAGAGTCCTCGTCAACGTGCGGCCACCCGGCTCACGGTTAGCCTGCATCAGTATTATGAATATTATTACTACTATGATTCCTACTACCATTATTATTATTGTTACGATATATTACTATTACTATTAAACTTGATTCGGCTGTGTTAAGACCTCGGACGGAAGCTGTGATCGGGGAACAGCTTCCTGAACTTCCCAGCTATGGTCCTGCAAGCCTTCATGGTCATCACAGCATCAGCAGCAAAGCATGTCCTGCACTATGCCGGCAAAAGCGGTAGAACGTCACGAGCATCAGCCAAATTCTTCTGGAAACGGCGACCAGTATTGCTCACGATGGCGGCAATCTCGCACGAGCAACATGGGCATCAGCCCGGATCCTTGTGGCAACTGACCTGCAGGAGAGCAGGCAGCCACGAAAAGCTGTTTTGGCGATGGCGGCCAGGAGAGCGAGCATCACGAGCATCAGCTGCAAGTCTTTTGTTCGACGATTGCAAAGTTGGGCAAGCATCATGAGCATCAGCTGTGATTCCCTTCCCAACAATGGCCCGTCGAGCACAGCATCATCAGCATCAGCCCCAGGCCGTGTTTTGCACAGCGACGGCACCGGCGGTGAGCAACAAGCCGGATTCTTGCGGCACAGATCGACGGGCAGGAGAGCAAGCAGCCACAAAAAGCTGGCTTGGCAATGGCGGCCAGGAGAGCAAGCGTCATGACCATCGTCAGGCACTGTCTTCTGACGATGTCCAAGCGAGCGAGAATCCCCAGCATCAGTTGCAAGTTGCAAGCCTCACTTTCCGATGATGGCAAAGTCCGGCAAGCATCATGAGCATCAGCCGTGATTCCGGTTCCAGCAATGGCCAGTCGAGCGCAGCATCAGCCGCAAGCCGTGTTTTTCTTCTCTGCGGCAAAAGCGGGCGAGCCTCATAAACGTCACACCGGACTCTTGTGGCAAGCGACGACCAGGAAACCGAGGATGATTATTAGCTTGCTGTATTCGCGACGGCGGCAGAGTCGGGCGAGCATCATGAGCATCAGCCCAGATTCTTCTGGCAACGGCGGCCAGGAGAGCGAGCATCACCACCGTCAGCTATGGGCATTAGCCATAGCTAATTCCTTCCCGGCGATGGTGCCGAGAGTGTTTTTGTTTTTCAGGATGGTGGCAGCGGCGCCCCAAAGCCATCAAACTTGAAAACCGACCCGCGATACTCCACCTCGAAGACTGTGATGTCGACACCGTCACCCAGCAGGTCGCGCAGAAAGTGGACGGCGGACCCACCGTTGATGCCGGCACCTCCACATACTCGGAGCAGCCCAGCGTTTCTGGCTTCGATATTCACTGGGCTGCTTTTTATTCGGCTCTACAAAACGGGGTTCGAAAATTTAAGGGTTCAAAGCTTTGGGGGTTCATGGCTTTGGGGTTCAGGGCTCGGGACAACAGGCGCCTACCACGGCAACGCGGGGCACAGCCGCGGCCGCTGCTGCTGCCAGGCCGAAGAAGGCCGACATTGAAAGGGGCAGCATCATGGCGGTGGAACCGTATTCAACGGATGGAACCGACAACAGCAGATGCCCCCTGCTTTGAGAAGAGTACTACAGCCACATGTATATCCCAAAAATTGTCAGTCTGTGTCTCTCCCTCTCTCTCTCTCTGCTCTCTCCGGTGACGAATATCTGAGGTATCCGGATGGGTAGATAGGCAGCAACATGTCCAACTGGATAGCAGCCAAATGCGAACAAATACAGGCACATGCGTTTAAGCCGATCCTGATTCCGTGCATCCTCGGCTCTTAGGGGCATGAGTCTTTGCACTCCCGGTCGATGTGCTCTTTGTTGCAATAAAGTAGAAACTGAACTCTTGTAGTTTGGACCTGAAAGGACTGAAAGCAGAGCAGTTCAAGGGACAGCGATGCCATCATGCGATCATGCAGCAGCTCAGTCTCAGGGTGTGATACTTTATCACTTTACAACTACACACTCACCCTCCACCCGAAGTTACAATGGTGTCCTCGTCTGCTTTTTTGTCGGCCATCTTCTCCTCACAGCGCACAAGCATGTACAAGCTCTTGGCAGAGCTTTCGCTAGAGATCTGGGTGTAGAGGGTCGCACTGGGCTTGTTCTAGCATGTCTGGGCGAAGATAATATAGCAGCGCTTTACTGCAATGCTACTGTCGTAGAAGAACATATGCTTCTGCCTAGATACAGGCATGTACAAGGCACATTAGCGAACGGAAATCCTACCAGCACTCTTGAGCGTTACCTTCGAGTGTTTGAGCCGGGAGATTCTAGCCCCTGCGTGTAGGATCTGCTAGTGGAGGAGGTCGGGCCAGGGTGTAAGGTGTTTTGGGGTAGGGTTTTAGGGTCTTAAGGCCTTTAGATTTCTAGAGTTCCAGATCAGGGTCGAGAGTGTGAGGTAGGACAATCCAGACAGACAGTAGTTGCAAGAGCCATCGAAGCAGCAAGACTAGTGACTACCGACCCGATAGTGCAGATCTTCAGCACTATTTCCATCGGCTATCGGCTAGGGCAGAAGGTAAGGGTGAGGGAGCAAAACTACCCCTCTGAGTATGCGAAACACGGGTGTGCAGGGTAGGGCAGTCAAGAGACACTGGAGCAACACCAAGCGTTGATGACAAAAGGACCCACACATATTTGGAAAGTTGGTGGGTCGCATGTTTTACCGGGTTCCTGTTTGCCCCGTTTTTGTCGTCGCCTTTAGAGGGTGGGTGAGTGGACGATTGCTGCATGCCTATGAACCCACGGCACCGACGTGCTGCACGGGAACAGGCAAGGGTTGCTGCAAGTTGGCGTCTTGACTGGACATGTGGATCTTGCCGATGGTTGAGTGGCTTCGGCAAGATCTGAATCACGACCGGTAACAGCAGGCTGATGTTCCCCATGTCTCAACATGTAGTGGCGGAGTCTAAGATGAAGGGGTGTACCATGGCAGTGAGAATGATACAACATGAAACGAAGCGGCTGCTGACTGAGATGATGATGGCGCCCATCTGAGAATAGTGATGATATTCAATGATGTTGATTTTGCTGTTGAAGTTAGCGATGGTACCGATGGGGTTCTGACTCACTGTTATCATCACCACCATCAGCATCAGCACCATCACCGGTATTGCATGTAGATCCTCCAGTGAAACAGGCACAAACAAAACTGCAAAACAGGCAGTGGCAGCAGTGATCACTTACAAGTGTAACCTAAATACTCCATCTCTACACCACAATTCCTGAACCTCACCCCCGCCTGCAGGGCTTGCATGGCGAACTCGCGACGCTCGATGTCCTCGCGGTCCGCCTTGAGCTTATCCTTGACCTTCCAGCTGGTCGGTCGTGTCGAAACACTTAATCGCATAGAATATTATACATTCTGCAGCAGACCTTGCACATAAATGTTGAAATACTATATCTCGAAACTGATAACAGGGTCTGGGTCTAGTGCTTGGGCATCTGGGGTCGGTTTATCATCGCTGCGCCTTCTGCATCATTGTCTCGTGCTTCTCTTGCTCCATGTCCTCCACAGCAGTTTTGGCAGCTTCGCGGTAGCGCATGACGTGGGGATGCCGGTGAAACTCAGAACCGCTTGCTCCAAAAAGCTTGCAGACATGGACTCTGCAGCCGAAGCCCCTGGCAGCATTGCCGGGCCCTGGCAACTGCCGTGATCGAGAAGCAGCGAAAGTGCACATTCTTGCACGTTACGATGTCACATCATGTAACATGATTTCCTGAAGCGAAACTCCATAAACCCGAGCAGCCCGCTCCTTGACCCATTTTTGGTACTCTGCAGTGGTGGCATTCAGCTTCTCCAGCCCACGCTTGGCCTTGCTGTGAACGGAGGCACGGACAGTCTGCTAAGCCCCCCGGGATAAGAGGCATGTCTCTTTCAGTTTTGACAAACAGACTAGTGCTTCTCATTTCGTCGCGGTTGTTGTGAGTATCCTATTGGGATTACCTGTGCTGCAGATCAACATGACGGTGATGACGATCTTGACCATAGGGAGGTGATGGAAATGCTGCGCGTCATGGATTGCTAGTACTTTGGCAATGATGTGGCGGTAGCAGCATTCAGAATAAGTATCAATAGTCGTGATCTTCATCTTGGTTCAACAGCAATCTTGATAGTAGTATTCCTAGTAGCAGAAGCAGGATTTGTCCAGGCCTATGTTTTTGCCAAGGAGCACTCTCGGCGATGATCATCTGCCGCTGCCTGAGCGAAGAAGCTGCGTTGTGGGTGTATAGGGTTTAGGGTTTAAGGTCCAGGGTTCAGGGTTTATGGATGTTTATGGTTCAGGGTTCAGGGTTTAGGGAGTTCTTGATGTGCTTGAGGATGTGGAAGCTTGAGGTTGTTTGGAATGGCGCAAAGCGTTTGAAGGCTGGTGTAAAGGGAAGCAGCAGCACAGCCGTCTTCAGCTGGACAGCTGATCCACGGAAATTAAGATTGACGCAGGGATCCTGCCCAGTATGCCATGTCCAGCACTGATTCATCATTTCACGGGGTCTGTGGCTCCTCAAGCGCACAAGCATGGTAACGCCCCGTGAGACAACAAACTCTGCTCATTAACCCCAACTACTAAAGTTACTGAACTTACTAAACTGAGAACTGAAAGAAACTCCGGAATCAGCCCTTCGCCCTTCATTAGGACCGCTGGCGCAGGCGTGTTGACGGCTTGCGAGGGGAGTTTGAACTTGGGCTTGTTCACGGATTCCTCAGACGATCCGGGCAGAGGCAAGGCTAGCCACCAGATCCGACTACCATAGAAGCTTCTATACTACTATACTACGGTATACTATACTATACTATGCTCTACTTTACTAGACCATAATATACTATTACTAGACTATGAGTCATGGCCGGTCTGGAGTAGCTGCTGTGGTAGCAAGAGCAGTAACAGCAAGGGTGGTGGTGGCGGTGAAGGTAATATCGGCAATATACGGGCCTTAATAATTAGAATAGCCTTTTGCGGGCCCATTATACTATGGTTGTAATACTAGTAATACTAGTAAGGAACCATCAAAATAGTATAGGGAATTCTTAAGCCCCTTTTTTTAGTAGCAGTAACAGAAGCAGCCTTGCGGGACTTGGGTTCATGGGTTCAGGGTCTCTTGGGCCCTTTGTTGCAGGCACAGGCTCCAGCCACGATCTGTACTCCTGCTCCCGAGCTGTCACCTGAAGCTGAAGATTTCGTCTCAAGCAGGAGGCTGATCAGGGTTTAGGCAGCAGAATTCAGGCGTCGTGGGTTTTGACGTCAAGGGTTGCGTCACTCAGCCCTGGCCTAACGGGTTGTTTAACTGTTCTGCTTCGGAGCTTCCGGACCTTGCCATGTGGTCGCAAGCACTCCCATAGAGTGAGATTGAAGGTTTAGGGCGTTGGCTTCGGCTTCGTGAAGCAACTTCCAGAGTTGTCCTAGCACCGCGACGATGCAAGCGTGCTTTCTCGTAGCTCTTGAGCTTGCCGGTCTGCATGTAGCGGGCTGCGAAGCCCGGAGTTCCCCCAAACCCCGAAGTGTCACAAATTGCAGCTGTGAAGTCTTCCAGAGGCTCACCCCAAATCGACCACGCTCCTTGGACAGTCACCGGTTCGGCGCCCCATTTAATGGACCATTTACCCCGAACCCTCTACCCTTGCCCCTTTTAAAAGGCCGCCTCCTTGTTCAAGGCGGCCTTCTTTTCTGCTACCAGCTCCTGCTGCGATGTTGATGGCATTTGCTTGAAAATTATCTGGGGTCTAGGGTTTAGGATTTGTGGGTTTGCGGGTTTCCGGATCTAAAAGGTTGAACTGTTTCTTCTGGCTGGTCAGGGCCTTTAAGGCGGAAGCTAAACCTTGACAGAGCTTCACCACACATTCCTTCGGCCTTCGGGTTCAGTACTTCAGGAGCTGACGTGTACCTAGGGTCCCTTGAAGGGATCTATAAGGGATCTACAGGGTTTAGGGTTTAGGCACTCCAATATCCCTTAATAAGGAATATACCTTCAATTATATGATTTAAGGTCAGATCAGAGGCTCAGAAGATTGATTGCCGCTACAAACGCACCACAACAAGAACTCCTGGTCATACTACCGACAATAATGGCGATATCACGGCCATTCAAGCACATTCACAGTAAGACTGGCAACAGCAGCAGGAATCACAAATAACAAAAAACACTTTTACTGATTACAAACTACAAGTTAGCAAAACACCTTGTGGCTAGCGACTGCAAGCAGCAAGACGGCAGCAGTAGCTGGACAGTAACGAGCGCACATCGGGTAACCGTAACCGCTCTAGAAACGGTAACAGTAGCAGCAGAAGAAGAAACAGCAACAGGTAACAACAAAAGTCTGCACGAAAATTGAACAATCGAATCTTATCCGGATACATAAACGAACAGATAAACAGCAAAAACCATCAGGGCATCAACCCTAAATAAAACCTTATGATCGTGACCGAATGCCGGCCTCCACGCTTCGCACCTCAAACTTATGGATCGGCGCTACCGCAGGACGTGCCTGGACGGCCTGCTGCGGGTTTACGGGTTCA